AATGTATTGTGTACCTATTCTATTTCACTGATCCACCACTCTCTTTCTTAGCCAGTACCAGATAGTTTTGATAATTACTGCTTTATAATACAGTTTGAGAACTAGTAGGGATAGACCATTTTCCTTCACATTTTAAAAAATTGATTCCTTTGATAGTCTTGGCCTTTTGTTTTTCCAGATGAATTTTGTTGTTATTTTTTTCTAGCTTTATAAAATAGTTTTTTGGTAGTTTGATTGGTATAGCACTGAATGAATAGATTAATTTAGGTAGAAATATAATTTTTATTACATTGGCTTGGCCTATCCATGAGCAATTAGTATTTTCCCAATTGTTTAGATATGCCTTTATTTGTGTGAAAAGTATTTCTTAATTATGTTCATATAATTCCTGGATTTGTCTTGGTAGGTAGACTTCCAAGTATTTTACATTGTCTACAATTATTTTCAATGTAATTTCATTTTCTCTCTCTTGCTGCTGGGCTTTGTTGGTTATATATAGAAATGCTAATGATTTATGTGGGTTTATGTTATATCCTGCAACTTTGCTAAAGTTGTTAATTATTTCAACTAGTTTTTTAATTTATTCTCTAGGATTCCCTAAGTACACTATCTGTATACCATATACAATAAATATGTCATTTGCAAAGAGTGATAGTTTTGTTTCCTCATTGCCTATTCTAATTCCTTCAATTTCTTTTTCTTTTCTTAGTGCTATAGCTATCATTTCCAGTGCAATATTGAATAATAATGGTGATGATAGGTATCCTTGATTCACTCTGATGGTGTTGGGAAAGCTTCTAGCTTATCCCCATTACATATAATGCTTGCTGATGGTTTTAGATAAATATTACTTATCATTTTAAGGTAAGCTCCATTTATTCCCATGCTCTCTAGTGTTTTCTTTTTTTCTTTTTTGGCAATTGGGGTTAAGTGCCTTGCCCAGGGTCAAGTGTTTGGTCTGAGGCTGGATTTGAACTCAGGTCCTCCTGACCTCAGGGCCAGTGCTCTATCCACTGTGCCACCTAGCTGCCCCCTATCTCTCTAGTGTTTTTAATAGGAATGGGTGTTGTATTTTGTCAAAGGTATTTTCTACATCTTTTGAGATAATAATACGATTTCTGTTGGTTTTGTTATTGATATGGCCAATTATGTTGATAGTTTTCCTAATATTGAATCAGCCCTACATTCTTGGTAAAAATCCCACCTGGTTGCAGTGTATGATCCTTGTGATATATTGCTGTAATCTCCTTGCTAGTGTTTTATTTAAACATTTTGAATTAATATTCATCAGGGAAATTGTTCTCTAGCTTTCTTTCTCCCTTTTGGCTCATCCTGGTTTGGGTATCAGCACCATATTTGTGATGTAAAAGGAATTTTGTAGGATTCATTCTTCACCTATTTTTTCCAAATAGTTCATGTAGTATTGGGATTAATTTTTGTTTCAATGTTTGGTAGAATTTGCTTGTGAATCCATCTGGCCCTGGAGATTTTTTCTTAGGAAGTTCTTTGATGGCTTATTCAATTTCTTTTTCTAACATTGAGTTATTCAAGTATTCTCTTTTCTCTTCTGTTAATCCAGGCAGTTTATGTTTTTGTAAATATTCATTAATTTCATTTAGAGCATCAAACTTATTGGTGTATAATTGGGCAAAATAGCTCCTAATAGTGGGGTCTCACTGCTGACTGGCCTCAGTGTCAAGGTCTCACTTCTGGTTAGCAAAGTGGATGAGGCCTTGCTGGTGCATTGGGGGTGGGACCCCTCTGTGCCGCACAGACTGTTGACTTGCCTCAGGAGCTGCTGGCTCATAGGAGCATGGGGCCTCCCCGGTGGATTGCCCTGGAGATCTGGGGCTGGGAGCCATGCTGCAGGCCCCTTGCTATGAGGCTGATTACCACTGCTCTAGGACCAAGCTCCCTTCCTACCCCAGTGAGATAGACTTTACCTGCTGAATGGTAAGCTGCTTTCTCTTACCTTCTCAAATTGATTCTAAGGCAGTTTTCAAGTTGTTTGGGGGAGAATTTGTGAAGTCTCCAGGGAGTTCCTGCCTTACTCTATCACCTTGATACCAGAGGTCAATACAGTACCTATTTCATAAGGTTGTAATGACGATCAAATGAAATAATGTATGTAAAGCTCTTTGCATATCCTTAAAGCACAATATGAGTGCCAATTATTATCATCATCATCATCAATTGATAATCTTGGTGAACACACAAACGAGGGGTCTCAAGCCAATGGCATTAGAGAATCACCTCTAATTCCTTAAGGACACCCCTAGAATCCCGAGATGGAGATGTAGACTTGCTCTAGAACGTGAGAATCATCTGTGAGATTGGTTCTTTGGGTAAGAATCCTTAGAGCTTAAATGGGGAATCTAGGCAAGTCACTTAACCCTGTTTGCCTTAGTTTCCTCATCTGTAAAATGAGCTGGGGAAGGAAATGGCAAACCACTCCAGGATGTTTGCCAAGAACACCCCAAATGGGGTCACCCAGAGTTGAACACAACTGAAATAATTCAACAACAACAAATGTAACCACAATAAGTAAAGTAACTATGTTTGATGAATGTAGGGGAATAGCATAATAACGAATATTTATAGAGCGCTTACAATGTGCCAGGCACATTTCCAATTATTGTCTCATTTGATCCTCATAAATCTGGCAAAGTGATAGATTCTACTTTTAAAAAATAATTTTGAGCGATATTTTCTTATCCCTTAGTCCAAATTTAGATTCTAACCAACGCTGACCTGGGGAAAATAAATGACTTCGCAGCACCAGGAGGTGGAGTAGTCTGTGCTTTTGTAAAATGATTGTCCTTTAGAGGCCAATTGGGGTGCTGTAGCCTTTGGGGGGATGGCATGAGAGCAACTCTGATGGGTTCATTTAGCTGGTGGCCTGCTTATACCACCACCTGGTGGACAGGTCTGTTCTTGCACTCTCTTTTTGGATAATTAATATAGTAATACACTATTTTAGGTTTAGAGAAGCCAACGCTCAAGCTAACATAGGTTGCAATGTTACACAGCAGAACTTTAAGGATTAGATAGGTGTACATATCAAATACACATGTAGGCCAGAGGTGTCACACTATAAAAAATGCATAAAATATCTGGAAGTCAATGTGCTGAGACCCATTCATGACTTCTGTTGCAGAACATTTTTTACAGAAATAAAAGAAGATATACATAATTAGAGGCATATCCATTGCTCATGATTGGACTATACCAATATTATGTATATGAAGATACGACCTAAATTAATTTACAGATTTAGTGACATACTAACCAAACTACAAAACCTTTTTATAAGATAGCTAGAAGGAATAATAAACTGTGATGTATAAAAAGTTCTAGAGACATAGTTTCTGTTGAATTAATCATTTTGTTAACTATTGCTAGTGGATAATTAATAAAAGGATTGGTCATTTGGCCATCTCTCCTGTACCAAAAATGATTGTGGTGGCTTCTTGACACTTAAATGGCCATGCTTCGAAGAGTGGGTGTTCCTGACAGGTGGCAATCAGCTCTGATTGGTGAACAATGAGAGACGAACTTTTTTTCTTTTTTTTTTTTAATGAATGAAAGAAATAATTTATTAAGCACTTACTGTGTCAAGCACTGAGGGTACAATTAGAAAAAAAGGAGACAGTCCCAGCTCTCAGGGAGCTCATATTCTAACTGAGGAAGACAACATATAGCTGCAAGGAAGATAAGATCCCAGAAGTCCCAAGGACGCAGCTACAGGTAGGAAGTTGGGTGAATCAGGTGGACACCAAAGATGCATGAGCAGCCCTGAAAAGGGCTTGGCAAGTCCTCCCACCAGAGGTACTTGTCTTCCTTGAACACTCCAGAGACCCCCAAACCTTGTTAGAATGCTAATGATTGTTCAGGTTTTCTCTGAGGACTGACTCTATGCTTGAGAATAATAATAAAACCTAGGTTTTTACCCCTATAACTTCTGCATTGTGATAAATATATATTTGGTAGCAGTTACCCCCCCCCACATGAACTCAGAGAATGCCTGGAAGAAGGGTGGTACTCTCTAGAGTTATCAGGAAGTTCAGAAGAAGGGGCAGCTAGGTGGCGCAGTGGATAGAGCACCCAGCCCTGAAGTCAGGAGGACCTGAGTTCAAATTTGGCCTCAGACCAAACACTTGACACTTACTAGCTGTGTGACCCTGGGTAAGTCACTTAACCCCAATAGCTTAAAAAAAAATTCTGAAGAGAGGAGGATTTGGGATACAAGGGAAGGGGAGTGATAATGAATTCAATTTTGGACATGTTTGGTATAAGATGTTTAGGGCATTTCCAGTTCCAGATTCCGACAGGGAGTTGGAGATCAGCAAATTATATGTTGTTGTTTAGTCCTTTCAATTGTGTCCAACTCTTCATGATCGCATTTGGGGTTTTCTTGGCAGAGATAGAGCAATGGTTTGCAGTTTCTTTCTCCAGCCCCTTTTTACAGATGAGGAAACTGAGGCAAATAGGGTTAAATAACTCGCCCAGGATCGTACAGCTAGAGTTAGTGTCTGAGAGTCAAAGGGTGTGGCCTGGGACACTGAGAAGGTGAATGAATGTCTCAGATCACACAACTAGTGTGTGTCAGAGGAAAGACTTGAACCCGGGTCTTTCTCATGCTGAGGCTGGTTCTGTATTCCCTACGTATCCCTGTCTTTCTCATAAAATGTAGGGAAATTGCAGGAGAGATCAATTTCACTGGGGTGGGGGGAGGGGAGGATGGGTGGAGAGAAGGGAATTGGGGAAGCTTTCTAGAGGTGATGTTTGAGTGTGGACGGGGAAGACATTACCAATGAGCCTCAGAGTGATTTGCCCTCTGTGGGCCTCACCGGCTTCAATCCTGGGATCCCATTAAGAACTGAGACAGCAGCGCTGGCCCAGTCCGGCAGCACGGAAGAAGGACGCGCTGCGAGGTTTCCATGGTAACGGGCGCGCTTGGCACACCTAGGCGGCCTCTAGGAAACTCTTCCACTACTACGAGGCTTGGGAGCCAGAAGACCGAGCGAAGATTCAGTCCTCCAGGTCCTAGAGGGCTCCAGGCGGAAGGAGGAGGTTGGCTCTTTGTCCCTCTGTTCCCTCCCCTCTATGGTTCCGCCACGCTCCCGAAACTCCCCTGGGCGGCTGGTCTATTTCTCTAGTCCGTGGAGGAGGAGCCCTCGGAACACCTTCCGTCACAGGCAGCGCTACCTGCCCGTCGAGTACCGCTGCAGCCGGAGCCCCGCCGCCGCCATGGCGCCCCCCACAGGTACCGCTCTTGCGCTCCCGTCCGCGGAACGGCCCCACGCTCCCTCTCGGCCGAGGGCTGCTGTCCACACCGCTCCCGCCACTGCACTTCCTCCTAAGAGGGAGGGAGCAGGGCGACCTTGGGGGCCGAGACTGGGAGCCCGGTCCTGAAATACAGCTCCTCAGACCACCCCTCCCCCCCGGGGGACCCCCAGCCAGGGCGCCTTTGTGGTCCTGGGTGCAGGGAGCCCAGGCCCTGGAATATAGGTCCTCCCCATACCACCTCCTTCTACTCCAAGGACCCTCAGCCAGGGCCACCTTGTGGTCCTGGGTGCAGGGAGCCCCGGCCTGGAATATGGCCACCCATACCACCCCTTTCTACTCCAAGGACCCTCAGCCAGGGCCACCTTATATTCCTGGGCGCAATGACTGGGAGCTGGGGAGCCTGAGTCCTATAATATTGGGGCTGCTTAGCTCCCCAGATCCCTCCTTTCTATCCGAGGGACCATCAGCCAGGGTGGTAGTCCTGGATACAGGAACTGGGAGCCATGGAGCCTGAGTCCTGTAATACTGGGGCTGCTTGAAATTCTATCTCCCTTCCTAGTAACTAGCAGTCAGGCAGGACCTCCTTATAATCCTGGGTGCAGGGACTGAAAGCTGAGGAGCCTGGGTTCTATGACTTCACAAAGAGGTGTAGTAGACCGGAGCTTTAGGTTTATACGCAGAAGGTCTGGATTCTGCCACTTATTACCTGTAGGACAGATCCGTTCTCTGGTCCCCAATTTCTTCATCTATAAAGTGGGGAGGAGAGGTAATGTGGTCTAATGCCAAGAACATTGGATTAGGAGTCAAGAGGTCCCGGGTTCAAATCCTTCTTTCACTTACCACTGTTGTGATCTTGCATATTACTTAACCTCTGTAGGCCTAAATTTCCTTATTTGTAGAAAGGTGGATGGCCCAGATGGCCTTGAAATCCCTTCAAGCCCTAAAGCTATGTTATGGCTATACCTGGATGGTCTCTTGAAATCATTTCCAGTTCCAAAGCTGGGGTATTGTAATTCTACCAGATCTTCTCATCTTTACCTCTAAATACTTCTCAAAAGATCATAAATTTAGAATTGGAAGAGGCCTTATAGGTTATCTAGTATTTTCCTTTCACAGATGAGGAAACAGGTTAAGTTACGCAAGTTAGTCGATCAGCCAGTAAACATATTAAGCACTCAGTAAATGCCAGGTACTGTGCACTTTAGAAAAAAACAAAGGCAAAACCACAATCTTTTCGGGTAGACAACATGCAGATGACTGTATTTATAAGATAGGTATCTGTATCTATCGGCCTATCATTTATCTATCTGATATAAATGAAGAGTTATCTCTAAGGGAGGGCACCAACAGTTTAGAGGGCAGGGAGTAATTGAGAAAGAAGTGATAGAACCTGTATTTGAACTCAAGTCCTCTGACTACAGATTCATAACTTTGGACTACCTGGTCTTCTCAGGGAGCCTGAGGTTCTGCATCCCATTTCTCTGTGCTGGGTCCTCTCAGAAGGCACCATGCCCTCTAATCCTGAGTATCAGGCATAGGTTTGGGCTTTGAAAATAAAAGCCTGGATCCTTACCTCAGCAGAGGCAGATATTCTGTGTCCTACTAGACTTCCCTCTCATACTATAGTGTCTAGGTAAAGAGCCTGGAGTTCCTCTTCCCACTAGCCCTCTCCTCTTCTATTTCCGTTGCTAGGTCCTTTCAGGAAAAGCTGGGGTTGCGCATTCTCTAATCTATACTTGAAGAACCCTAGGCACCAGCATGCTCTTGGGAAACTGGAGCTTTCTGCTCAACCAGATTTCCCTCTTCCTGGGGCAACTAGGTGGTGCAGTGGGTAGGGCACTGGCCCTGAAGTCAGGAGGACCTGAGTTCAAATCCAGCCTCAGACCAAACACTTGACACTTACTAGCTGTGTGACCCTGGGCAAGTCACTTAACCCTAGTTGCCTAAAAAAAAAAAAGACAGATTTCCCTCTTCCATATGTAGGTGCTGTCTGGCAGTTGGGAAGTCAGGTCACCCCAGTAAGGCCTAGGGCTGCTTATTTAATCACTAGACCCACGCTTCCTACTCTACTAGACTTGGATTCCTTGGTTACCTGGGCTCATATGAATCTGGGGTTCCTAGTCCCTCCAAACTCTTCCATGCTGCTCCAGTGTTTGAGTGCAAAAGTTGGGGCTTCTCATTCTGCAAGATAGCATCCTTCTATGCCTTAGCACATTGGACTCAGGGGCCAGGGGCTGGATACAGTGAAGAAAGAGGTGAAAAAGTCCTTGTTCTTGAGGAGCTTACACTCCAATAGAACAGTAAAATATGTACACAAATAACAATGATACAGGGCAAAATGGTGGTGAAATATAAATGAGAAGTCCAGAGCATTATGGGAAATTTGGGAAAGGAGAGATTACTTTTGGCTGGAAAGGTCAGGGTAGAGTTGGTACTTGAGCTGAAAGAGTAGGGGATCCATTCCAGGAAAGATGGGGAAAGTGTGAGCAACATTAGGCAAGTGAGAGAAGCTGAGAGAAGAGGGAGTGGAACTAGCTTGGCTTACGTTCTGTTATTCAAGGTAAAGTTGGAGTTAGGTTGGAGCCATATCGTCAAGGGCCGGCAATGTCCGGAGAAACAATGTATACTTTATTCTGTTGTTGTTAAGTTGTTTTTCAGTCCTGTCCAATTTTCCATGACCCCATTTGCGGTTTTCTTGGCAAAGATACTGGAACGGTTTACCATTTCTTTCTGTCTATCATTTTATGGATGAGTAAGTGAGGCAAACAGTGTTAAGTGACTTACCCAGGGTCACACAACTAGTAAGTGTCCAAGACTGGATTTGAACTCAGGAAGATGAATCTTGCTGACTCCAGGCCCGCACTCTATCCACTGTGCCACCTAGCTGCCCTAATTTTATTCCGTGAGCAGCTTTGGTGCTGAAGGGTTTTGAGTAGAGTAGGGATCTGATCAGAGAAATGGATCTATAAGATTATTTGTTCCAAAGGAGAAGAGGTCAGTGGGGAGAGAAGCCACTTAGAAAGCAATGACAATAGTCCAGGTAATGAGGACCTAAACTAGGATGACAGCTATAGGAATGAAGGAGGAAATACAGAAGGTTGGGAACCTTGGGAAGACCCATGTAGTAAGGGAAAGAAATCAGAGCCAACAACATACATTATAGCTATAACAATGTAAATAAAAACAACACCAAACGGCTACAAAACTTGACCCAAATATAGTGTCACTACCCTCCTATTGAGGTGAAACACATCCTTTTTGTTGTTAAACTTCAAAGTGGAAAGAGATGTATACCATCAGTTACAGTCACTACTGAGAGTTTGTTTGGGATTGTCTGTTGTGTCAAAACAAAACTTATCCCCGTCCTCTGCTCCCCTTCCCCAATTTTTTTTTCTTTTTAAAATGTTTATTTATTTTTAGTTTTCAGCTTTCACTTCCATAAGATTTTGAGTTCTAAATTTTCTCCTATCCGTGTCACTCTTCCCTCTCCAAGACAGCATGTAATTTGATATAGGCTCCACATATACATTCATATTAAACACTTTCACATTACTCATGTTGTAAAAAAAAGAATGAGAATCAATACTTCTCCAAATGTTTTAAGACAAGGAGGGGACAAATAAGGGAAGTAAGCAATGTAATAGAAGTGGAACTGTCCAGACTTGGCATCTGATTAGCAGGAGAGAAAAGGACTTTGATTCAGTGCACGTTTATTTAGCGTCTCTGCTGAGCACTGGACTCCGTGCCAGGAAGAATACAAAAAACGAATGATAGTCTCTGCCCTCATGGGGATTATAGTCTCGCAGGGGCCTAGTAAGAGAGAAACATAAACAAGTTGAAATAAAAGTTAGAATGTAAGTGTATGTGAAGAGGATAGAGTGTTATGAAATCATAAAAGGAAGAGAATGCTTCTCTTTGGCTGTATTTTTTTCTGTTCCACGTCTTCAGCTAGCTTGGTCTCATACTCCCTTGTATTCTCAGCGCTAGGCTAGGGGTGGAAAAACTGCGGCCTGGAGGCCACGTGGCCTTCTAGGTCCTTGGGTGCTGCCTTTTGGCTGAGCCCAAGTTTTACAGAACAAATCCTTTTATTAAGGGGATTTGTTCTGTGAAGTTTGGATTCAGTAGGGTGCTGCACTTGAGGACTTAGAGGGCTACATGTGGCCTGGAGGCCAAGGTTCCTCACCCCTGGCCTTGACAGTGCTGTGAACTGAAGTCAGTGTCCTATAAGTGTCTGATGGTATTTGAAGCCTCATTCTCTTAGGTCCTATTTTGTGTACTGTGGGGGAAGATGATGCTCAAAGAGATAGAAAATTTGGTTCTTGCACTTCCAGAGAAACAGTTTGTAACTCAGTTTCCCTCCCTACCACCTATGGAAAGGTGAGCCTTGGGTCTTCTAAGAGGCCTCCAAAGTTGTGTCTGGGTGGCCATGAGGGTGTCAGCAAGCACGAGCTCCTTGTTTTCCTCTGTCGTTGCTGTGCAGGAGATGTCCTGGATAATATGTCTCCGTGTTCTGTGACAAACCACTTACGGTGGGACTTGACAGCGGGGCAGATTGAAAATCTGACCAACGAACTCATTGAAAAAACCAAGCGCGTGTACGATCAGGTGGGATCGCAGGAGTTTGAAGAAGTGTCCTATGAGAGCACTCTCAAGGCGCTGGCTGACGTGGAAGTGGAGTACACAGGTAGATTCCAGGTCGTGGCCCTGCTGGTGATTGGCTCCTACCCAGTGCAAACTAGCTGAGCAGAGTTCAAAGATAAAACCTGTCAGCCCCGTCAGCTAAGAGCCAGGAAACTAAAAACTGGTTTGAATTACAGACTCACACCCGAGAGCCAATTCACTTTACAGCCTTGAAACTTGAGTCTTTTTTCACCTCTCCAAGCCTACCTATTTCAGGGAATTGTTTGCTGTTTCTTTTGCCAGATCTGCCCATCTTCTGTTTTCTTGTTTTCTTTGTCACCTTCCACCCCCTCACCCAATTAACTTAATAATATAAATTCAGTAACAAGGGCGTGGAAGACAGCCTGCTATTAGTTCCCCACCCATCTGTCTCTCCCCTTAAAAGGTATTATTGATATCCTTCATTTCCAGATTTATCCTACTTCCCCTTCCCCTCACACGGGGCCCTTTTTTTATTCTGTTTGTAAATGTTCTTATTGTAGGGACTGATGAGAACCCTTAAATCTCAGATGAAGAATCTGATAAGACTGTCTGCCAGCTTGGCTTTGTAACTGTAGCATCATACAGTTCCAGGGCTGAAAGAGACCGTAGAGCTTGTCAAATTCAGCCACAGCCTAACGCTAGAATTCCTCAGGCTGAGTAGAAGACGTGGCATCTTATGCTGGAACCACGGCCGGATGTGGAATGAGAGGTCTCAGATTTGAATTCCAGCTTTCCTACTTTCTCTCTGTGTGACCTTGGGCAAGTCACCGAATGTCCTTATATGTAAAATGAAGGGGTTGAACCAAATGATTTCCAGTAGCAAATTCCACTAGTCCACTAGCTATTTAGCCTTTGCCTGAACTCACCCTCTTGCATTCTATATTCCGGGCCTCTCCTGGTCCATGTCCTGGAGGTGTCACTGCAGTGGTCACGTGACCTGTCACTAGTCATGTGACCTCTCCGTGGGTAGGCCAGCTCCCTGAGGAGGCTGGAGGTCCCAGAGCAGATGTGCTTGCGTAGGAGGTGCTTCCTCACTGGGGTCTCTGGTGCTAAAGAAATCCCAGGTCTCCCCCTCCCCTGATATTTTTCATTTTCTTGTGGCTACATGTTGTTTTCCTGCCCACGCCCTGCCCTCAGATGAATGTAAACTCCCTGAGGGCAGGGGCGGAGCAGGGTGTAGCATAATAGATGCTTACTGAGCTGAATTAACTAACACCTGACTGACCTGCTTCCGGCAGGCTGCTCCGTTCTGGGACAGCTCAAGTTGCTGGGATGTTTTTCTTCTGCGAGCAGAAATACGCTTTCCTTTTATTTCTGTCTCAGTGTTCCAGAGCAGAGAATCTGGATTCTTGCTGATGCTGGGACCTTTTGCAGAATCTCAGACTTGGAAGAGACCTCAAAGGAAACATAGTTCACCCATACCCTGAAAAAAAAAATCCCCTCCATGACTTACTTGCCAAGTGACCACCTGACTTGGCTCTGGTGCTGCCACTTTGGGATGGCCGGCAGTGTGGTGGAAAAGACCCCTGGGCTCTGAGTCAGGAAGCCAGGGGTTTAGCCCTGGCTCTCCTGCACATCTGCTGTAGGACTTCTTGTTTTTCTCATTTGTAAAATGACACCAGTCCTGTCTGCCTCAGGGCTGTTGGGAGGATCAGGTGAGGTTCTCATAATTATTCTGTGACTCACCAAGGAGGGTTTAAAATTGGTGTTTATTGCTTGACCGCTTGCCCGTCCTGACATACTTTTCCCTGCTTGACCTATTTTCAGTTCAGAGAAACATTCTGGATTTCCCACAACATGTCTCCCCCTCCAAAGATATCCGAACGGCCAGTACTGAGGCAGACAAGAAGCTCTCTGAGTTTGATGTGGAGATGAGCATGAGACAGGATGTGTACCAGAGGATTGTCTGGCTGCAGGTGAGTACCAGAGGAGCATGGACTCTTTGTAATCTTACTGTGGCCTGAAGTTTCAGGCCGCTTATTTCTCCTTTGGCTCCTCCCTCCTGAAACCATCTAAGCCTTCTGGAAACAAAGAGGAGCCCATAAGCAAAGCAGACCGAAGCAACAACTGTATCGGACAGCCCAGAGCACACTGTGTCCGTAATCGGGAAAGATGGGCTCCAGTGCGCTCACAGTGACACTGCTTTCTTAGGGTTATTGAGAGCTTTTGAGCTCGGTTCTGCTTTCTTCACTGTACGTCACTTCCTATAAGGCTTTCCAGGTTTCTCTCAGTCACTCATATTTGGTGCAGTACGAGTCCATTCCATTCCTAGACTTTGATTTTTTTCAGCCATTCAGCCAGGGAAGAGAACTGCTCATCAGGTCCATCCAGAAAGGGTATAGCTGGCGTGTGAACTGAATGCAATAACATTTCCCTTCAGCTTAAAAAAACAAAACAAAACAGCAAAACCCAATTATTCTGAACTTAGACACCAAGTAAAATAGGCATTTCCGCATATCTAGTAGCATGAGAGAAGAGTATTGTACATGAAACCATGAGTCTGTTGTGTACAGGTAACTATTCTTTTAAAGTATATAATAGGGGCAGCTAGGTGGTGCAGTGGATAGACCACTGGCCTTGGAGTTAGGAGGAACTACGTTTAAATGTGGCCTCAGACACATAACACTTACTAGCTGTGTGATTCTGGGCAAGTCACTTAACCCCAATTGCCTCACCAAAAAAAAAAAAGTATATAATAAATTTAACACACAACTTTAAAAGCTGTCCCACTTTTCCTTTTACTTTCTGTTCTTTTCTGTGCGTTAAAAAAAATGCTTCAATTACCCTTCTTTTTCTTTTTTTAAAATGGCAATACTATGTCCACTGCTCCCTTTTGATCTGTCCCCTCCCTGCCCAGAAAACCCTTTGCAACAAATATGCAAAGTCAAGCAAAGTAAACTTTGCGTTGGCTGTGTCTGAAAACGTTTGCCCCCTTCTGCCTTTTGAGTCTATTGTCTTTCTGCCCTCGGTGAGAAAGAAGGCGTATTTCATCAGAGGTCCTCTGATAAAGTGGTGGGTCATTGTATTGATCAGAGTTGTTAAGTCATTCAAGGTTCTTTTTCTTCACAGTATTGTTATCGCGTGAACTGTTCTTTAACAGTTACCATAAATCTTCCCAGGTTTCCCTGAAACTGTCCTTTTTGTCATTTTTTACAACGTGATAATGTTCCATTCACAGACAGATCATTTGTTCACCTGTTCCCCCAGGGTAGGACAGTGCTAACTGGTCCTCTCAGAAAGGACGCGGAGCCACAGCTGGCATAGGCACTTAATGGAAGAGTGCCATTTCCCCTTCAGTTCTCCCATTGCCATAAAGTCTGTTTGCTGATAGCGGAAGATAGGGAGGAGAAGCCATTGAGCTGACTTAGCAGTCCACAGAAATCAGCTGCCCAGGCTGCAGGAGAGATCAGATGCATCTGCATCATGGGAGCTTCACCTTTGGGTGAAGCGTTCTACTCAGGAAGGCAGTGGAAATTTATGATCAGCCCCAGTCAGCAGCTTGGATTGGGGCTCTGCCTTCGATCCACAGTCCCACAGTGGCGGAGCTGGACCTCAGATCCACGCCCTCTGGCTCGTCTGCTTCACCACACGTTTTGTGCTTTTCAGAATTACTTACACGTGAACAATGGTGGGCAGCAGTGGTGATTAACCACATTTTGCAGATGGAGAAAGAGACACAGGAAGGTGGTGACTGAGGATGGGTGCTGCATCCATCATTGGACTCCTCATTCCTTGTCTGCGTTCCACTTTACATCCATTATTTTGTTTGATCTCCATAACAGCCCTTTGAGGGAGGTACGGTCATACCCATTTTAGGAGGCAACTAAGGCTGACTTAAGTTTCAGGGGGATACACACCTAGTAAATATCTGAGGCAAAATTTGAACTCAAGTCTTCTGATGCCAAGTGGTCTTCATCTACCTGAGTAGAAGTCTAAGTATTGCGGCAGCTAGGTGGCACTGTAGATAGAGCTCTGGCCCTGGAGTCAGGAGGACCTGAGTTCAAATCCGGTCTCAGATACATAACACTCACTTAGCTGTGTGACTCTGGGCAAGTCACTTAACTCCACTTGCCTCACCAAAAAAAAAAAAGTCTAAGTGTTGAGAATGAGGTCAGCCAATGAGGAACATGCTGTCCTACCTTCCTTCATGAGACCTTATCTGGAAGACTGTGTCCACTTCTCAACCATTATAGAGAGTAAAGAAATCATTGGGTGACTTATATCGAGTACGTGATGTTTCTGTTTCTGCCACAGTTTTTTAATTAATTTATTTGGATTTATCAGCAATCAGTTTTGAGTTTTAAATTTTTCTCCCTCTTTCTTCCCACCTCCCCCAAGACAGCATGCATTCTGACATAGGTTTTATATATATATATATATATACACACACATATATATATATATATATATATATATACACACACATATATATATATATACACATTCCTATTAAACATATTTTCACATTAGTGATGTAAATAGGAATTAGAACCAATAGGAGGAACCACAAGAAAGAGAAAACAAAAAAAAACAGAAGAAAAAATAGCAAATAGTATGCTTTGATCTGCGTTCAAATTCCATAGTTCTTTCTTTGAATGTGGATAGCATTTTCCATCATGAGTTTTTTGGAGATGTCTTAGATCCTTGTATTGCTGAGAAGAGCTAAGTCTATCAAAGTTAGTCATCACACATTGTGGCTGTTACTGTGTACAACATTCTCCTGGTTCTGCTCACTTCATTCAGCATCACTCCATACAAGTCTTTCTAGGTTTTTCTAAAGTCTGCCTGCTCATCATTTCTTACAGCACAATATTATTCCATTACATTCATATGCCACAACTTGTTCAGCTGTTCCACAATTGATGGGCATTCCCTCAATTTCCAGCTTTTTGCCACCGCAAAAAGAGCTGCTATGAATATTTTTGTAGATGTGGGTCCTTTTCCCATATCTCTTTGGGGTACAGCCCTAGAAATGCTATTCCTGGGTCAAAGGGTATGCACATTTTTATAGCCGTTCGGGCATAGTTCTAAATTGCTCTCCAGAATGGTTGGCTCAGTTCACAACCCTACCAAACAATGAATTTTTGTTGCAATTTTCCCATGTCTTCTCCAACATTTATCATTTTCCTATTTTGTCTTGTTGGCCAGTCTGATAGGTGTTTTGATTTGCATTTCTCTAATCAATAGTGATTTAGAGCGTTTTTTCATGTGACTATAGATGGCTTTAATTTCTTCATCTGAGAATTGCCTGTTCATATCCTTTGACCATTTAGCAACTGGAGAATGACTTGTATTCTTATAAATTTGACTTAATTCTCTATATATTTTAGAAATCAGTCCCTTATCAGAGACACTGGTTGTAAAAATTCTTTCCCAGTTTTCTCCTTTCCTTCTAATCTTGGTTGCGTTGACTTTGTGCAAAAACTCTTCAATTTAATGTAATCAAAATTATCCATTTTGCATTTCGCAATGTTCTCTATCTCCTATTTGGTCATGAATTCTTCTGTTCTCCATAAATCTGACAGGTGGACTGTTCCTTGCTTTACCAGTTTGTTTATAGTATCAGCTTATAGTATCTAAATCATGAACCCATTTTAACTTTATTTTGGTATATTGTGTGAGATTTTGGTCTGTGCCTAGTTTCTGCCATACTCGATTTTCCAGTTTTCCCGGCAGTTTTTGTCGCCAGAAGCTGGGGTCTTTGAGTTTATCAAATAGTAGATTACTATAGTCATTGACTGTTGTGTCTTGTGTACCTAACCTATTCCACTGATCCACCACTCTATTTCTTAGCCAGTACCAAGTAGTTTTAATGTTTGCTGCTTTATAATACAATTTAAGATCTGGAACAGCTAGGCCACCTTCCCTTGCATTTCTTTTCATTAGTTCCTCCTACACAGTTTAACAGCTGTTACTGGTGACCCCACCGTGGGCTGAACTTCTTCCTGGAAGAGAAGGTGAAAGGAATAGAACACCTCTCTGCTCCAGGTTGTTAGGGAGGGGGAAGGGTCCTAAAGGAGGCTGAAGCAAGGTTTCATTGGAAAGGGAAGTTCTGGGGTGAAGGAGGGGAAGGGAAGACTCAATCCTTGTCAAGATGTTAGCGAATAGAACAGGGTTACACAGAGAAGGAAGAGAACTTAAAAAGAGGTTTGATACTTTACTCCTTGCTAAAGGAGGAGAATGTGGGTGCTCTGAGAGGAGTAAGCCTCTGGTCCTCCCAAGAATGATATAGAAGAACCTCAGACACGATCAGATAGAAGGAGATGCTCCAGGAAGGGGCAGAGTTGTTTGTGATTCCTTGCTTAGGAGTATGGAGGCAGCTTTTGCCAGCCTGACCACAAGGGAGGTCTTTTGTATTCCTGTGGCTTGTATTCAAAACACAACAGGACCTCTCAGGACTCAAAGTGGATTGCCCTCACTTCTGGTGATTCACATTGTCGTAAATGACTTCCAGAAGATGTCTAAATAGATTGTCAATGACCAAGAAATACTTGGGCAAGAAACAGAAGACCATAAGGATCCAAGCTGTGTTTTCTTCACTTTTGCCTGTTGAACGCAAGGGATGAGGAAGAGAAAAATCAATTTAGAAAATGAATAGCTCGTTAAGAAGGTGGCGCCTGAGAATGGGATTTGGCTTTCTAGATCATGGCTTACTATATAGGGTTAACAGACCACTGGATAGATATGGAATATACCTAAGGAAGGCTGGGGAGAGTAGGTCTTGTCGGTTCTCAAAAGAAGAATTGCAAAGTGTTACTAGTCATGTCAGCAAATAACTACAAATCACTGATGAGGGAATGCAAATCAAAGCAACCCTAAGTTTTATCTCAAACCCAGAAAATTGGCAGAGATAACAAAAGCTGGGCATAGTCCAGTTGGTCGTTGAGCTATGGATTAGTACAACTGTCCTGGAAAGCAGTTTGGAATTTTGGAAATAAAAAAATGGCTAAAATGTCACTACCCTTTAACTAGAAATTCCATTGCTAGGCCCATGTCTCAAGGATGTTATTGATAAAAAAGAAAGGCTTCATATCCACCCCAATATTTATAGTAGTACACTCTGTGGTAGCAAATAACTAGAAAGAAAGTCGATGCCTATCAACTTGGGAACAGCTGACTAAATGTGAATGTATTGAAATTTTACTGAGCTGTAAAAAATAACTATGATGAATGCAGAGTAGTATGGAAAGACTTATGTGAAGTGATGCTAAGTGAAGTAAGCAGAGCCAAGAAAACCATATGTGGTGACTACAGCAATTTAAATAGAACAAGCACTAAACAGTTGGAAATTAAAGTTGCAAAGTTACAAAGAATGAGTTTGACCTCAGACAAAGAAGATGCCTTTCTGTTGGATTCCTGGGGCATGTATTCAAAATGTAAGAGGCCCTCTCAGGACTTAAAAAAATACATAGCACTCACTTCCGGTGATCATATCAAAGAGAGATATACGTCTGCCTCCCCTCCCCCCCCATTCTTTTTGCTTAAGGGTATGCAACGTTACATATATCGTCAGATTTTTTGGGATGTCTTGATTACTTCTGTTGGTTTTTTCTTCCTCTTTTTTCTTTTTAAAAAATTCTTTGTTATAAAGAATGGCTGTCTTTCTGGAAGATGTTGAAGGAGAGGGATACAGAAGAAAAAATAGGCAATGTAAAAACAAAAGACATCAATAAAGTTTTATTTTAAGACAATAAAGTATTTGTTAGATTTGTTGCAAATCTAATTAAAAAAGCTTTAAACTATAAAGGATAGGGGAGGAAGACTGGCTAAGTATGTCCCCCAAGTTAGATACCGTAGAGAGAAGCCACAAAGAAGGTTGAAGAAGTAGCATTTGGTATCCTTACAAGTGCATAAGAAATAAAGGCCAAGAAAATGACCAGTAGTAGGAGAACTCATATCTCGAATGTCTATACACAGATGCCCAAAGAGGAACTCTCCTGGGTTATGCTTTGAGGGAGCAAATTTGACCTCCTAGTTATTACTGAGAATTGGTAGGACTCAGTTGTGACTAGACCATAGCTATGGGTGTGTATACTGTATTAAAAGGAAATCAAGGGGCAGCTAGGTGGTACAGTGGATAGAGCACTGGCCCTGGAGTCAGGAGGCCCTGAGTTCAAATTCAGCCTCAAACACACAACACTCACTAGCTGTGTGACCCTGGGCAAGTCATTTAACCCCAATTGCCCTCACCAAAAAAAAAAAAGAAAGAAAGAAAAAAAGAAATTGAATAGGTAAAATGTGGTAGGAGCATTGTGTATTAAAATGGTGTATTCATAGGAGAAGATCTAGGAACCAGTGGGGAAAAGCATTATAGAAAGTATTTGGGTAAAGGTCTAAGAAGGCAGAAATAGAAGTGGTTTTGTTGCTTGGAGTATACTACAGATCACCTGGACAGAAGGAGGAAATAGATGAGGAGTTTGGGAAACAGGTAACAAGTCTGGCACAGAGGTGTGATATAGCAATGGTAGAGGATGTCAGATATCAAGACACCTGCTGGAGGTCTCCACCAAAAGCAGAGCATCTACTAACTGCTTGACCTGCTATAATCATAATTTCATCCTTCAAAGGGGGAGTTCTGGGTCTGATTTTTACTAATGAAGGAACTGGTTTTGGGTGGCGGAATGATGGAACCCTTCTGGTTCCTAAGTGACCTGGAGTTTGTGAGAGAGTAGAAGAAATCTGGATATAGTCTGACATGCATCCTAGATTTCAGGAAAGCAGATTTCAAAGAATTTGGGGAAAAGGTTGGTAAGATCCCATGGATGAAAATGCTTAAGGGAAAGCCAGCCTCGGGGGATAAGAGATGGACAGGAATGAAATTCTGAAGCTATAGAGGGAAATAATTGCAATGAGGAGGACAAATGGGATTTGTCAGAAAAGGCAATGTGTGCACAAGGGAACTCACCAATCGGACATATGGAAAAGGAATCAAAGCCAAGTCACAGGAGATGAACACATGGTAGAGTTCTGTGAAGATATCTGAGGAATGAGAAAGCTCCAATTGAGTTGAGACTGACAAAGGAACCTAAGGATAACAAAAAGGTTTGGTTTGGTTTTGCTATATTGGAAGACAGAGGAGGCTCAAAGGGGAGAGGAAGCCTTCGTTTCCATTAGAGGGATGGTGGTAGCTGATGACTGGCAGGGAGTTGATACCCAAGCTAAGTAAAGTGCTAGTAAGAGAGCCCCTGGCTCAAATGAACAGTGTCCTCATTCCTGAAAGCACTGGAAGGTGTGATAGCTGAGCTCTCAGGGATGCTTGAAAGATCACAGAAAGCTGGAGTGTTGGCACATGCCTGTAATCCCTGCTACTGTCAGGGAAACTGAGGCTAGTGGATCACTTGAGCTTGGAAGTTCTCAGGTGCCATAAGTCGAAAGCTGATCCAAGGGTCTTCACTGAGTCTGGCACCGATATGATAAACTACCCGGAGCAGGGGGCCACTGGGCTGGCTAAGGAAGGGTGAACCAGCCCACTTTGGAAACCACAGATGCAAACTTCCATGCTGAGCAGCAGTGGCATTCAGCCTTCCCCTAAGTGGCTGCTGCAATTCCAGGTTGAGCAAGATAGGGAATCTCAAAAGGAGGGGAAAAAATTATCAGGGAATAAGATACCACAAGATTAAAGAAGGGCAATTGTATTTACTATTTTCATAAAAAGGAAAGAGAACAGTCTATATACTATAGGCTCCAAGCTTGACTTTGGTTCTTGGGAAGATTAGATTATTAAACCGATTATTAAAAAGGTAGTTGGCAAACATAGTAATTCAAGAGAGGTAGCATGGCTTCATCGAGAATGAGGTTATCCCAGATTAACCTCATTTCCTTTTTCGATTGATAGAATAACTAAGTAGATGAGAAGAATGCTGTGGATATAGTTTACCTAGGTATCAGCAAAGCCTTTAATAAAAGCATCTCATACTATGTGGTGAAGATGGAGAGAAATAGGTTAAACAGCGATATAACTAGATGGATTCAGAACTCTTTGGATGGCAAGACTCAAAGAGTAATTGTCAGGAGGGTGAGAGATCTGCATTGGAGTGTCCCAGGGATCTGTCCTTGGTCCTGTGATGCTTGACATTTTTATCAGTGACTTGGATAAAAGCGTAGGTGTCTGTTCATTGAAATTGCCGACAGCGCCAAGGAAGCAGATGACAAAATCAGGCTCCAAGAGGATCTTGACAGGCTAGTACATTAAGCTGGATCTACTAAGGTGAAATTCGATAGGGATAAATGTTAAGTCCTGCACTTAGGTATAGAAAATCAGCTTCACCGGTATGAGATGAGAAAGGCATGGATAGGCAGTTCTGAAAAAGATCTGGAAGTTTTAGTGGACCAAAAGTTCTAGAGTTAGCAGTGCCATGTGGGGGCTAAAAAACTTAATTCCTTCTTGGGCTTCCTGAAGAGAGTTCCCTTAATAGATACAATAGTGAAAGACTCATTATACTAAGCTCTTAGTTCTGCTTATCCTCAGGGTTTAGGATCTTGGAGTATAGAAATTACCAAGAAGCAGATTTCAGCCAAACTTAAGGGAAAATGTAAGCACTGTAGCTGTTGCCAAATGGAATGAGCAGCCCTGAGGAGACCGTGGGACAGTGAGCTCCCTGTCACTGAAGGTATTCAGGTAGAGGCTTTTTGACTCATTGGGGTGTTGTGGAATGGCTCATGCTTCAAATATGGGTTTCACTAGATGATCGTTGAGGTCTCTTCCAATTCCAGGGCTTTGTGAAGTCATTTCCCCTTCTAAGGCTTATTTTCCTCATCTGTAAAGTAAAAGGGTAACATTAGACTCAGTGGTTTCCAAGGTCCCTCCCAGTTCTAACATTCTGTAATTCTGAAATAGTGTCCTTTGAAGTAATCTTTAAGCAATTTGGTTTTCTCATTTTCCTAGGAGAAAGTTTCGGCAGACTCACTGAGGCCAGAAGCCAAGAGATACCTGGATCGGTTAGTTAAACTGGGAAAACGGAATGGACTGCACCTCCCAGAAGAAACTCAACAAGTAAGAGCTCTCAGTTTGTGTTCACACGGGTACAAGCTGTGGCTGAATTGAAATTAAGTCACATTATTGGTAGCAGCTCTTTGGGGTTCCCTGGTAAAGAATCCATGGGAGCCTCAGTGGCACGTGCTTACTCCTCCTCATCTTGCACGTAAATCGGCAGCCCCTTGCAGTCTCCTGCATTGGTGTTTTGTGACTGGGTGCCTTGGTGGGGACCGTCCTGCTGTCTCAGGAGGCCCTTCTCATGGGAAATCTTGTTTCTTCTCTACCAGTAGCTCCCTTTGTGATCTTGGACAAATCCCTTCCTCATTCTGGACCTCAGCTGATCTCAAAGGTCTCTTCCAGATTTGCATGCGTTGTTTGAGCAGAGGTAGTCATCCTGTTTTATCTGAGAGGTAGCTGGGGATGTGACAGTCAGCCTTTTTTCTACTCTTAAAAACCATACTAGAGTAAGGAAACTAACTTTTAAAAGGTAGTAATGTATTCATCCACGTCAGCATTTTCCTTACAAGTATTTATTTCCCTTGAAGGGTTGGCATGGAATTTCAGAGTAAAATCTTTGAGATGGAAGGTAGCTCAGTAGCCATTAAGTACGGCCTATACTGTACCCCTTCTACATCGTACCCAACAACTGGTCATCCAGCCTTTGCTTAAAGACTTCTAGGGAGGGAGAATCCTTTGTCTTTGTTATTTGGTAGGGAAGTGTTTTTATTAATGCTTTTTAAAAACCTCATTGTGACTTCTTAGTAACCCTCACAGAATCCTCTGTTCTTACAGTTAAGCAAAACAGTTGGGCACAGTGACCATGTCTAACAGCATATGACTCATTTATTCTGTATAGGTTCATTCACATCTTTCCAAGTCTCTCGGAAGTAACAATATTCTGCTACATTTACATACCACCCTTTATCTAGCCGTGCCCCCAAAGCACCTGCTTTGTTTTCAGGTCTCTTGGATCCTCAGATATGCTGCTATAAACATTTTGGGGCACCACTCTATTTCAAGAAAGCCTATCTCATGTTATGAATGAGTTGTTAGGAAGTTTTCCCTGAAATCATCTAAATCCGCTTTTCTCTTAATTCTATCCATTGTACCTGGTTCTCCCCTCTGAGGATAATCTTTCTTAATTAAGGCAGCCCCTCGGCTATCATGTTCCCCCCAAGTCTTCTTTTTTTCCAGTGAAATGTCCCCTGTTCCTTCTGTTAATCTTCGTGGGGCAAGATTTTGAAGCCCTTCACCCTGCTGCTTGCTTTTCTTGAGAATTTCTGCAGCTGGTCAATGTCCTTCCCAAATATGGCATCCAGAACTGAACACAGTCCTCCCAAGGAGATCCAATCAGAGTAGAATATGCTGGCACTGTCACGACACTCCCCAGTTTTAGACAGTTTGCTTCTCTTCTTTTTCCAGTAGCTTCATTAGCTCTCTTTGACTGCTGGAGCATACCCTTGACTTATATTGAGCTTGTGGGCAACTATAATACTCTAATCTTTTTCAGATAAGTTTCTGTCTAGGCTTATTGGCTAGATATCTCTTACTTGTGGTGTTAATTTATTTAATCAAGTGTAAGGTTATATATTTATGCCTATTAAATGTCACCGTTTTATAGAGAGCTTAGTGTAATTGTTAGAGAGCCACCCTCAAAGCCAGGAAGACCTGGGTTCAAATCCTTTATCTGACATACTGGCTCTGTCTCCCTGGGCAAGTCACTTAACCTGTCTTGCTCCAGGTTGCAGAGAAGATGCTGTCCTGCCTTGGCAGAAGGAATTTCCACACCCAAAAGTTGCTCATACCGACAAAATCCCAAGCCTAGCCTCTCTCTTCATTCCTGCATTCCATCTTATTTGATTCAACCAAATATTGTAACTGTTCAAACTCCTTAGGAGTCTGACTCTGCTATACAGTGGCATAACTGACTTTTCCAGCTTTGCATCACTTGAAAATTTAACAAACTTAGCTGGTGTGCTTTAAACCCTATCATTGGTGAAAAGGCAGAAAAGCACAATGCCAAGTAGGCATTGTGGCAAAGAACTGGGACATTTGCTTTTTTCTCACCTTGTCACACTTCTCCCCTTTTTCCATCTTTCAGAGAATCACCAACAGGGACTTGGCCATCACAGAACCTCCAGACTCTTTCAGGCCCCTGCCAGGGGTATAATTCATCAAAATACAGTAACTCAAACTCATCGGGGCAGAACGGAGGCATTCTCTTTCTTCCTTCTGCCCTGTCTTGAATATCTGTTCCCTATTAGCCATTTTTTCATTCTGGCCTTTGCAGTGCAAAGGTAATTCTCCTCAGGAAACAAAACAAGCAAAATAAAACTGCGTTAAGGTCTGTCTTTTCTCCATTGTCACCATCACCTCATCTACCCCAAGCACTGATTGTATCCCTTCTCTGACCTTTCTTTTTGCTCCAATATAGCTTTAAAAAGCTTTTTTTTTTTAACCCTTAGATTTCTTAAGCAGCTTCTGTTCAATCTGAGATTTAGCTTTCCTGACCCTGTTCTCCTAGGACAGAGATGAGACCTGGAGACCACATATGGCCTTCTAGATCCTTGGGTGCAGCCTTTTGACTGAGTCCAAGTTTTACAGAACAAATCCTCTTGTTAATCCATTTGAATTCAAAGGGCCGCGCTTGAGTATCTAGAGGGCCACATGTGGCCTTGAGTCTGCAGGTTCCCCACCCCATCCCCAAACCCTGTAAGGTTCCCATCTTTTCCAATTCAGCAGCCAGCTTATCCTTGTTGGTAGGCGTTGCAGAGTAGATACTGTGGTTCTTGGTTTTTCCACTATCTGAAGGGTGAAATCCCTAGGACAAATCAGTGAATTATTACTTGCTGTGCTTTGGATTGAAGAGAACTCCACAGATGTGATTGGGGTGGCTGAAGTCTTCCATTATTCCTTTCTTATACCTCCATGATAGCAGTCTGATCTGTTTCCCATATTCTGCAACTTCTTTTCTGAGTGTCATTACTTAAAATACAACCATGGCTCTTGGTTCACACGCCAGGCTAGTTTCCCATGATCTATATATAGTACACCTTTCCAGAGCCATATTTGTGTATTGGAGTGTCATCCTACAAAGTTTAAGTCATATTTATGGGTGAAATTTGGCCCGTTATTTGAGGACGTCTAGTTCACCTTGCTAGTTATTTGTACTTTTATACATTTGTGAATAAACATGGGTTTTATTATTGACTGTTTTTTTTTTTTTGCACTTTGTGTCTGTGAATTTCTGGACATCTCTTCTACTCTTCTTCCTAAACTGTAGTCATTGCCTGTGGTATCTAGGTTACTGGACATACCAAGGCAGTTATTTAGAATTAGATTTTTGTTGATAACTTTGCCTAGATTTCACCCTGTGTCCCAGTCCCTCCCAGAAAGCTGTCCTTTATATCAGTTTAAAAAAGGGGGGGGGAGGAAAAAGAGAAAAACAATCAGCAAAACCAATCAATATATATATATATAAAAAAATCTGGCAAGTACATTCTTCCACATCTCTGGACTCCCCACCCCTTCTGCATAGGTGGGGATCGAGGCGTTTTCTCCTATGTTCTCTTTTGTGAAAATTTTACAAGTTAATGCCCTTTTAATTAGATTTGTGAATCACCAGGAAAATAATTTCTTAATAGCCCTTGTTAGATGCACTCCATTCTTGGCTAGGGGCCTTCCGTTCTTATGTTCTGTTCTTCTGTTTTTAATTGTGGTCCAGAAATCCCAGTCCTATTCTCAGATACTGTCTTCTTAGCCAGCTGTTCATTCTCCAGATCTGCCATTTCTTTCTGAAGCCATCGCCTTTGATGGGCAGCAGTGATCAAAGCGTCACCTTCAGTCCAGCCAGACTGCTTTCCTTAACCCTGCACAAGCTGTCTCCCATGTGTGGAGATGCCCTTCGTCCTCAGTTCCCCCTCTTAGAATCTCAGAGTCAGGTCAAGGGCCATTTCCTGACCCACCAGCCCTGAATGCATTCTCACCCCCTCACCCCCAGCTGCCAGTACCTGCGTGAAATTCCCTTATATCTACTTTATGTATGTTTTGTATCTGCCAGCTTGTCCATAGTGTTTCCCTCAAAGGTTCTAAGCTTATTGAGGGTAAGTGTGGACTGTCTCATATTTGCCTGACCTGGTGCCAGGTGCCTCAGGTTACTAAGGGCCCATCATTGTGCTCTACAAAGAAGCAAAGCAGGCCCCTGCATTTGAATGGAGGCAGCAACATGTGCATAGGGGATAGAGAATAGAGAGGCGGGTAATCTTAGAGACAAGGGACTGGGCAGGGCCTCCAGAAAGTAGCCTTAGAGCTGAGTCTTTGAGGAAGCCAGCGATTCTGAGAGGTCAGGGTGAAGAGGAAGAACATTCGAGGCCTGGGGACATCCATTGCAAAGGTTTGGAGGAGGGAGCTGGGGGAGGGGGTGAGTCGGTGAGGAACACCAAGTAGGCTTAATAAATGCTTGTTACTGGATCTTCAGCCGTTTGTACTTTTGAGCAGCACCCTTCCCCAGCATTCCCCTCCCCCCCTTTTGCCCCACCCATTTCTGGCAAAGCTGCCTTTGGAGCCGAGTCCTAAAAGACACAAAGAGAAATCAGCTTTGTTGCTTTTTACTCACACCTGGATTTTTAATACAAGAAATAGTATCCTCAAGCTTGGTAGCCCCAGCTTCCCTGGCTTAGTCATTACGTGTGACTTTTTGGCCCTCTGCAAAAATGAAATCTCTCCTCTAAAGATGATGATTTTCTATTCATAAATAAATTTAGAAGGATGGGCCACAGACTATGAAAGCTGGTTCATCCCCAAAGAGAAATCTCTTTGGAGTAAGTGGCTAAAGTCTCTTTAAGTAACTACTTTGAAGAGAGTGGGGTGGGGCAGAGCACTTGTTGAGAGGGTATGTTTTCAAGTGACATTATTTTAGTGTGTACTTCATATACACCACACACACACACACACACACACTCTCTCTCTCTCTCTCTCTCTCTCTCTCTCTCTCTCTCTCTCTTCCCTTCCCTTCCCTTCTTTATCCTTTGTCCTTGCTCTCGTCACAGGGCTGGCAGGTGCAACCAGTGAGAACACCAGGGCCACCTAGGGGAGCTGCCTCAAGAGTTAGAGCCTACATGGCTCCTTTTTCCCTGTGGCTCCCTTCTTCCTGACCCCTTACTTCCTTTCTTTCTCTCCCCTTTAGAAAATAAAAAACATTAAAAAGAAGCTAAGTCTCCTTTGTATCGACTTCAACAAGAACTTGAATGAGGACACTACCTTCTTGCCATTCACCCGAGAGGAACTGGGTAACGAAAGGGTCCCCTGGCAGTATTTGCAGGGGTCGGGGGGAGAGGAGGGTACCAGGAAGGGAGGGATGGTGCAGCATTATCATTAGCTGGCCCCAGAGCTCCTATGGACCTGGGTGTTCCAAGTGAGTAGAAGGATACTAAGAAAGCAACGAGGGTACCGGCTGCCTGCTTTCTTCTGTTTGGGGCGCAGGCCAAGGCTTGTGTGTGACCAGCTGGGGACAGTCAGGTCCTCTCATGTGTGGGACTTCCGTCTTAAGCTTAGTGTGCTTACATCATTCAGGTATTTGAGTTATAGATTATATCACTAGACTATGAGCTCCTGGAGGGGGGCCTTGAATTATTTCTTAAAGTAATTTTATTGATAGTTTTTGTTTTTATATTGTCTAAATTTCTTCTGTATCCCTTCTCCTTCCACCTCCCATAGAGCCATGCCGTGTTACAAAGAATGATTTTTTTAAAGAAAAGAAGGGAAAAGCAATACATAAAAAAAAAAAATCTGACAACATGTGCAGCGTCTAGTTCCTAGGACCTCTCCCCTCTGCAGGGCATGAGGGCAGGCGTCTTCTCATGGGCCTCCTCTGACACCATGCTTGCTTTTGGCAGTTCTGCAGTGTTGGTTTTGGGGGATTGTTCTTTCCAATTATGTTATGTCTGTTGTTCTCTTGGCTCTGATTACTTCACTCGGCATCAGTTCTTGGTAGGTCTTTCCATACTTCTCTGTATTCATCATATTTGTTGTTTCTGAGAGCTCAGTAATATTCCATTACATTACAAAATTCCATTACATTAAACCACACTTTACTTAGGTGTTCTCTAATCAATGGGCATCTACTTTTTATAAACAACTTTTTAGGGGCAGCTAGGTGGTGCAGTGGATAGAGCATCAGCCCTGGAGTTAGTAGGACCTGAGTTCAAATCTAGCCTCAGATACATAACGCTCACTAGCTGTGTGACTCTGGGCAAGTCACTCAACCACAATTGCCTCACCAAAAAAAAAAAAGTTTTTATTGATGTCTTAATTTTTTACACCATTGTAGTTTTCCCCAGTATTCCTTCCCTCCCTCCCAGATAGCCATTCTACATAACAAATAGTACTTTTGCCCCCATGTTAGTCATGTTGTGAAAGAAAATACAGACAAACCCAACAAGAAAAATAAAGGAAGTAAAGAAAAAGTATGCTTTGATTTACATTCAAACTCCATCAGTTCTTTTTCTGGAGGTGAATAGCATTTTTAATCATAAATCCTTCAGAATTGTCTTGGATCATTATATTACTGAGAATAGCCAAGTCATTCACAGTTGATTCTCATATAGTATTGCTGTTACTGTGTACAGTGGTTGCCTGGTTCTGCTCATTTCACTTTGTATCAGTTCATGTCAGTCTTCCCAGGTGTTTCTGAGAGCATCCTGCTTTGTCAACAAATAGTACTTTTTAAAGTTAAAAAAAAAAAAGAAAAGGAAAAAATCAGCACAGTTAATCAACACAGTTGTAAAAGTCTAGAAGTATGTGCTGTGCGTAGCACTTGTATACTCCCCATCTTTGCAGTTGGCTGGAGAGGAAGGGGTCTTCTCCGGTCTCTTCAGTCAAGTCCTGCTTGATCTTTATAATTTTGCTGTTTTCACTTGTGATTTTTTTGATGGTAGCTATTTTTTTCATTTCCATTGTTACTGTGTGTCTTGTTTTCTTGGCTCTGCTGACTTGGCTATGCATCATTTCATATGGATTTCTTCATGCTTCCTTATACATCACGTGCATCATTTCTAACAGCATAGTAATATTCCAAAAAGATTGTGCTAATTCACAGCTCCACCACTGTTGAGGTTTAGGGGTGCTGGGACCCCAAAATCACAACATAGGGGTCCTGACTGAAAGAATTTGACCCAAGTTTTCTTTCAGCCAAAGACAAGGTTTATTAGAACATCCATCATGTTAGCCAGACTCTTTAAGAATCTCAGCACCTTAATGGAGACAAGATAGACCTCATATACAGAAAGACTGTGGGAGGGATCCAGGAGTGTTCAAGTAGTTTGGGGTGACTGGAGGAGGGGTCTAAAGAGGATCTGGATGGGAGTGGCCAGTAAGCTGGGGTGAACAGAACTCCTGGGACCTGGACCACATAGCCAGGGGAGAATGTAGTCTAGTTAGAATTAAGGTGGGAAGTGGCTGGGGCCATCTGGAGGTAGATTGGGCGTGGGTGAAAGCCAGAGATTGGCCATGTGGGAAAGTCCAGGGTTTTTCCTTTTTGGGGTCCAGATCCCATCGTCATCACCACCAATGCATCATCTTCCCACAAGCCTTACTTCCAACATTGACTGTTCTCACCTTTTGTCATTTTTGTCAATTTGCTGATTTACATTTTTCTTATTAATGATTTGGAACATTTTTTGTGTGATTGTTAATAATTTGCGATTCTTCTTTTGAGGACAGTCTCTGTATCCTCAGTACCTGGCTTTGTGCCTGGTCCTGAAGATGCAAATTTGTGCCTGGTCCTGAAGATGCAAAGACAAAAACCAAACAACAAGCCAGTTCTTGCCCTCGAGGCTCTTACATTCTAACAGATACCTTGAAGATGACCTGCACTCTTATGGTTAGATACTAAGGAAGTACAAAGTGATTGTGTTGTTTGGTGCTGAGGGAGTTCCTTCCCAAAGGGCTCCTGTGACCCCTAAGCTGAGTTTTGCTGAAGGCATTTGCTTTTTGAACTCCTTCCTCTTCTTCAGCTCTAGTAATCTTCAGCTTTGCGTGGTAGGGCGGTGGCCTTTCCTCTCCATTTTAGGTTAATATTAACCCAGTTAGGTATGCTCGTCTCCCTGGCAGGCATAGAACACAGAATATCAGAGCAGGAGACTCCCTTCAGAAGTCCAAGGCAGGAGTGTTCTTGAGATGACTGATTACCTTCAAGTGCCTTTCAGGTTGCAGGGGGAGAACTAACCGAGGCTGACGCCCTCAGTCCCGCAAGTCAGGGGCAGAGCCAGAACGGCAGATCCTAATGCCTGTTGTTTCTCCCACTGGAGTATGCTGTCATTCACACTTCACTTTCCTAAAGCAGAGAGAAAATGAGCCCTTCCCCCCTATGCCTGCTGGATAGAATTTTGGCTCTTAAATAAACTACCTCTCCCTGCCCTTGTTTCCACAGGCGGTCTTCCCGAGGACTTTCTGAACTCCTTGGAAAAGACCAAGGATGATAAGTTGAAGGTCACTCTCAAGTACCCTCATTACTTTCCTCTCCTAAAGAAGTGTTATGTTCCTGAGACCAGGAGGAAGGTTGAAGAGGCTTTCAACTGTAGATGCAAGGAGGTAAGAGAGCTCCCGGGGCTCTTCCAGCTCAGCGGCAGGGGTTCTGATCTCTTTGTTTTACCTTCACCCTCATCCTCTTTTGCCTTCCGTGTGTCTAAGACCGGGGCTGACCTTATGGGGATTCAGATCATCACTGTGAATGCCCAGCAGGGAATGAGTCTGGCATTCTCCTGGGGTGCTGAAGGCAGTCCCCTAAGGTGTTTTCTGAGGGGGCCCACTTTGGCAGGAATACCCTGACCTGCCAAAGCCTTGGGATTTTATAGTCCTGTCTGACTGGGGCTAAGGGAACCTGGCACTCCTCATTGTGCTTCGTCTCCAGTGGCTCAGATGGGCCATTCAGCTGGGTATTCCTGTTGAGGTAAGCCTCTGTCTCTCTTCAGGTTCCCCCTTTAAAATGCAGATTCCTCTGGCAAAGGTAACCCTTAGAAGCCCTACCTTCTGGGGCAAATGAGCTCACTCTCCTTTAAGAAACAACAGAGGCACCATCTGGCTTTGGTCATTGCAGAAGAATCATCTAGGTCTTATTTAACCACTGGTTATTTGTGGAAGGGCTTCCTTCAGGAGGGCCTGGAAACTTTTGTTCATTCTCTCGTATCCTCATATCTAGTCAAGTCACCAGAGAACTGTCTTCACGACGTGTCTCCCTCCATCCCCTCCTTGCCATTCCCACAGCCACCACCCTAGTTCAGCCCCTTACTTCTGTCACTCTTGTGCAGAGTTCTCTAGCAGACCGTCCCTGGTCTCTTTCACCTGTAATACATCCCACACTGGCTGCTAGGTTAACCTTCCTGACGACATCACTCCCCTACTGTTACCTTCAGTGGCTCTTGGCTACAGATGAAATCTAGCTCCTTAGCCTGGCATTCAAGGCCCTTCCCACTCTGCTTCTACCTTCTCGCCTTCTTATACTAATCTTCCTCAAGTCACACCAGTCACACTATTCCCAAACATACTGTGTTTCTTGGCATTAAGGTCCTCTAAACTATTTCTGTTTTGCAAGTCAACAAACATTTAGCAATGAGGAAGGGAAAAAAAGCTTAGCTACAGTGAGGGTCCTGCCATCATGGAGCTTACAGTCTGGTAGCAGACTAAAACACAAATACAAATAACTAGGGTATAGAGTAGAAAAGGGTAGCTAGGTGATGCCATAGTGGGTAGAGTGCTGGCCCTGAAGTCAAGAAGCCTCATCTTCCTGAGTTCAAATCTGGCTTCAGACACTTACTAGCTGTGTGATCCTGGGCAAGTCACTTCACCTGTTTGCCTCAGTTTCCTCATCTGTAAAATGAGCTGGGGAAGGAAATGGCAAACCCCTCCAGCATCTCTGTCCTGAAAACCCCAAAATGGGGTCAGAAAGAATTGGACATGATGGAAAACAAGTAAACAACAACACAAAGTAGAAAATAAGAGATCTACACAAAGGCCTGTGTTCGAATCCCCAGCTCTAGTACTACCAGGTCTTTAGGCCTTTGTCTCCTCATCTCTAACCTGAGGAGGTTGGATTAGAAGGACTTGAAGGCTCTTTCTCAAGGCTCTACAGCCTTTGGCCTTCCTCCATTTCTGAACCCTCAGGTCTTAGCTGCCCTCATTTCTTGCCAGCAGGATGCTGTGATTGTGGGCCCCGCTGGTGGTTGGGAGGCATGGACCTTGGGAGTCCCCCAGTACAGGCTCAGGAGGACTTTACCGTGCATGCTCTTTGATCTCTCCTAGGAGAACTGTGCCATCCTCCAGGAGCTAGTGGATCTCCGGGCTCAGAAGTCCAGCCTGCTAGGATTTAACACTCATGCCGACTACGTCCTGGAGATGAATATGGCCAAAACAAGTCAAGATGTCGCCACATTCCTAGGTAATGCCCGCCGCCTTCTCGTCCAGCCAGGGCTTCCAGCATGCTGAGGACCTCTGCACTGGGGGTCTGCTGTCGACTGGTTGTGGTATTGGGCAGGTCACATAGCATCTCTCAGCTCTAGTTACTCAGTCTAGAAAATGGAGACATTAATACTTACCACCCTGCTTATGTCACAGGGTTGTTGTGGTGATCAAATTGAATGGGATGACTTATGTAAAAGCTCTGAAAATCTGGGGGGCTGTGGCATGTGGGGTATTGGGAAGAGTGCTGGGCGCTGAGCAGGGATGGCATCCGTTGTGGTGTTCCAGCTCTGACACTTACTGGATGGATGCGCGTGGAGACGTTTCATCCCGGGGAGGCTTAGGTTCCTTAGCTGTAAAGCTGGCATAATCGAGTCTAGACCTTAGAGCTATAAAGGATCATAGAGAGATCTTCTTATCCACCTGTCTCATATTACAATGAGGTAACTGAGACTCTGAGAGACTGACGGGTCTGCCTAGGTCATAGCTAGGAAGTGAGTGCTTGAACCTCAGTCTTTGCCACATCTGTGCTTCATGGTGCTTGTCCAAAGCTACCCCACAGGACTGTGGTGAGGAGAGTGCTCTGTGAACCCCATCGTCATTAAATGCTGTTTTCCTTGCCAGATGAACTGGCCCAGAAACTGAAGCCTCTTGGGGAAGAAGAGCGAGTCATCATTTTGGAGTTGAAAAAGAAAGAATGTGAGAAGCGGGCCCTGGATTTCGACCAGCAGATCAATGCCTGGGACATGCGCTACTACATGAACCAGGTGGAGGAGACCCGCTATAATGTGGACCAGAACCTGCTAAAGGAGTACTTCCCGATGCAGGTGGTCACCAAGGGCCTTCTGGGCATATACCAAGAGCTCCTGGGACTGACCTTTGAACTGGAAGAGAATGCCAAGGTGTGGCATGAGGATGTGAAATTGTATTCCGTGAGGGATGTCGACTCAGGCAAAGTGATAGGGAAATTCTACCTGGACTTGTACCCCCGGTGAGTATCTGTGAGGATTTCAGGCTCCCTGAAAAACCATTGGGACAATGGGACTTGGAATGCTCAGGGAGAGTTGTCTCTCAGCTTGTTGGGGCTCAAGGGAGGGTGTGGTGTCAGGGTGGAGTGTCCATTTCGAAAAGCAAGAAGAAATTTGGAAATGTTTTCCCTGCTGGCCCCCTAAGCCTCGGGGAGGCGAGGTGGTATTGTGGGAAGGACCCAGGAGACAGGAAATGGGATTTCAGTTCCAGTTCTGCCACTTACTGCCTCTGTGACCTTGAGCATGTCCTCATGATCTTAGAATTAGAAGGCTAAATGCTCCTTTACAGCATCCCTGAAGAGTGATGCTCCATCCTCTTCGTGAAGGCCTCCAGTGACAGGAAGGTCATCATGTCCCTAAGTAGGCAGGTCTGATGTCTGGGAGTTCTTCTCTCAGTGAATCCAGCTTTGCCTCCACTTAGCACTCCTTCTCTGACCAGGCAAAACAACTAATCCCCTTTCCATCTGACAGCCCATGAGATATTTGGTGGCAGTGAGGATATTCCCCCTAACACATCTGCTTCCTAGCTGAACATTCCCAGTTCCTTCCATGGTTCTTTGTATGACAGGGTTTGACTCCGTCTTGGCTGTGTCCACGTCTGGCCCCAGGAAGGGATGCTTGGGGGGGGTTGGTTATCATCATGAGTTCATTTCGGCACTAGGTTCCTTTTAAGGTGGCTTGAGAGGTCACGTGACCTTCCATGCCAGCCAGGTCACATGGTGGCAGGTAGTGAGCTTGCGGTCCACTAAGACTTCCAAGTCTTTCCCCCCCCCCAGCCTGAATTTTGTATTTCGTTACTTCCCCACTCTGTGTATGTTATTGTTCAGTCATATCAGATTCTTTGTGACCTCGTGGACCATACTGATCCGAGGTGTTTTCTTGGTAAAGATACGGGAGTGGTTTTACATTTCCTTCTCAAGTGGATTAAGGCCAGCAGAGGTTAAGTGACTTGCCCAGGGTCACACAGCTAATAAGTGTTTGAGGTTACGTTTGAACTCAGGGTCTTCCTGATTTGGGGCCCTGCAGTCTGGTCGTACATGGCTTTATATTTATCCCTTCTTATATTTGGCTCCTCACTCTACTCTGCCTTTAGGCTTTTATGATTCTAGGAGTTAAGCATTTTCTTCTAGTCTGATTTACAGATAAGGAGACTGAAGAGTAGAGGGGAACTGACTTGCCCAAAGTCATTCAGTGAGGAGAAGCGCTAGGGCCAAGCAGCAGGTGTGTCTGACTCCTAGTCAGCTGCTTTCTTCCCCATGTTACGTCGTTTCTCTTTGAGCCCTAGTGGGTGACCAAGCCTTTGAAGGAGATTCCACCCACCCCTGATCCCGAAGCCTGGACCTTGACTCATTTCCCTCCCCTGTCTATAGGGAAGGGAAGTACGGTCACGCAGCCTGCTTTGGCCTACAACCTGGCTGCCTCCTCAAGGACGGCAGCCGGCAGATCTCCATTGCAGCCATGGTGGCCAACTTCACCAAACCTACCCCTGATGCCCCCTCCCTGCTGCAGCATGATGAGGTGGAGACGTACTTCCACGAGTTCGGGCACGTGATGCACCAGCTCTGTTCTCAGGTAAGGGTGAAGTTCCAGAGAGGCGTGGCCGCGCGACAGCCCCGTGACCAGGAGGACTGCAGTCTCAGACTCAGGGTGAAGGGGACGGGGTGTGACTGGTGTGTGCAAGCCAAGGGTCAAGTGTGGAGAGGCTAGCTCTCTGGACCCTGCAACCACTGACCGCCAGGGTTTGGTGACCCCAGACTCTGAGAAGGGCTTGGAAGTATTGTCAAGGAGGTAGTGATTCATGACCTTGTGACATCGGTGACTGGAGTCCTCTTGGCCATAGGCCTGTCATGCCCTTTAGTGAATGACAAACTGACAGAGACATCAAGCCACTTGTGGCACAGCGCAGTTCAGAAAACTTTTCCCAGAGACAGCCTCCCTGGTAACCCGTCTCCCCAGAGTCCTCGTCGGTCTGCCACTCAGCTCCCGTGCTTCCCCTTCTTCCAACAGACTCAGCTTGGGAGTTGCAGCATAAAAGCCAGGACTGAGGACGCATGAAGCGCAAGCTTTACTTGTGTGCTGTCAGCAGGTGGCCATAGGAAGGGAGAGGTTGGCACCCTCGTTACAGCGTGTTGCTCTGATAGCTCAACATTAGAGGAGCGAGCAGGTGGCTCCCGCAGGTTTATGTGGACCCGGGGTCAATCCCAGTAGGTCAGTCAGGCATCAGAGACTAGGGAACAAGAGGACAGAAACCCAGGCAGAGAATACAGGCAGGAAGCTTAAGCATAACATGCCAGTAGCAAGACTGGCATTGGGGTTGGGAATCAGGGGTCTCCTGAGCTAAGACTAGTTTAGCCAGTTAGCTGAGCCTGTGCGGGAAGAGGTCAAGGGAAGGGGTCCTGAGCCAGAATGGAGCAGGAAGTGAGACGTCTCCCCTGCCATTCTGTAGTAGATGTGGTGGAGTTTTTAAGCGAAGGGGAGAAGGGTAAAGTTGTGATGGAGGTAAAATTGGGCATAGAATGGAATCTTAGCGATCTAGTCTAGTTCTCCCAGCTTTCCAGCAAGGAAACTGAGTCTCAAGAGCCTTTCTAAGCCTAGAATCAGGTCTCTTGTCTTAGCAGCAGAACTTGCCTTAGGGACTCTTAGTCAGCCCCTGGTTTTACTGTTGAGGAAACGGACAAGATGGAGGTTAGTGAGGTCTTCAGGGTCACACTGCAGGCTCTGATGATTTAGTCTAGAACAATTTAAGAAACGTGGGTGTCTGGAGAAAGAGTTTGGAATGGAAAGTAAATGACTAGATCAGGGCTCCACAAACTACGACCTGGGGGCCCAATCTAGCCCCCAGTCTATTTCTGTGTGGCCCATAAGCTCATAGTGGTTTTTACATTTTTAAATACAGTTAAAATTTATTTTAAGATGGAAAAAAAAAACATGCTTAGCTCACGGAATTTGGACCCATGGACCAGACAGTTGGCATATATATATATAGAAAGACCATAAAGCACTGTGTCCTAAACACTTACAGGTATGTTGTAATCTAAAGAAATTTTGGGAATAGCGCCAAATGGATAGTATTCCCCAGACTGATACCAAGCACCCATTTGTCCCTATTGTTGACATTCCTCCCATGGGTGAAGTTGGGGACTGTAGATGGCATATACACTTAACCTCGCAAGGGCTTCAGTAAGGTCCTTCCAGAAAGAGAAGTAGACAATAGAATGTGGAGATTTCCTTGGCCAGGGCAGAAGAGCACAGCAATCCATGGTCCTTACCTTGTGCATTCACAGGCAGAGTTTGCCATGTTCAGTGGGACCCATGTGGAGCGAGACTTTGTAGAAGCACCATCACAGATGCTGGAAAATTGGGTGTGGGAGAAAGAGCCTCTGCAGCGCATGTCCCAGCACTACAAGACAGGAGAGCCCATCCCCCAGGAGCTGTTGGAGAAACTCATCAAGTCCCGTCAGGCAAATACAGGTTTGGTGTTCAGCCATCCCCATTCTACATGTGTGACTGTGTGGGTATGAGGGCTGTGGAATGGAGTGGATGTTTAAGCTCATTTGGAAGAGGGCCCTCTAAAGCAAACCTAATGCAAAACAGAGAGGGGACTAAGCCAGTGTCAGGTTCACGGCAGGACTGAGTCTGGAACCTTGGGTGGCTGACTCCAAGTCCATCATTCTTTGCCTATAGCACGTTGCCTATGATTTCTGCAAAGGAGCCGTGTGATCCGAAGGCAACAAATAAGTCGATGTTTGAAGTGCTACTTATAATATCAAAAAGCCAGTGGTAGCCTCTGGATTCTTCTTAAGCTAGAGGTGGCACGTGCCGAACCAGGAGCGGCTCCAGGGCAAACCCTCTGGAGGGAACGCTGAAGGTTTCTAAGGTGGCAGTGATGGGGTGACCTACTAAGGTTATTATGGAGCCACTTGGCAGCCCAACGGTATTTCACGAGTTGGTATTTTCTCCTGAACAGGTCTCTTCAACCTGCGTCAAATTGTCCTCGCCAAGGTGGACCAGGCCCTGCATACCCAGACAAAAGCAGATCCAGCTGAGGAGTACTCCCAGCTGTGCCAGGAGATCTTAGGGATTCCCGCCACCCCAGGTACTAACTCTTGATGGCCATGAGCTCACCAGAGTTGGGCACCTCAGCAGTGACCCCTGAGGACCTATATGGGCCACAGTTAGAACCAGGGTCCAAAAGGGTTTACAGAAATTCCTGGGTGACGCTTCCGTAGTAGGGCATGGATGTCACTCCAAGATGGAGGCATTATCCAGAAATTAAATTGGAGAGGAAGCAAGCACCTCTCCATTGGAGAGCACAGAAAAGGAGCATTGTCGACTTCAAGTTTGGGTCAGAGTAGCTGAGGGAGGCAAGAGCCTAGAATCCTAGAACCTCAGAGTTAGAGAAGAACTTTAGAACATTGACTGTCGGGGCTCTTCCTTAGAATGTGGACTGTCAGAGCTAGAAGGAGATTGTAGAGATCATCTGTAGTCTGAGCATGCTCGTTTTACAGATGAGGAAACTGAGGCCCGGTAAGGACAAGGGACGTGCCCAGATCTGTACATGTTGCAGTTGACAGAGCAGGTCTGCCACCTGCATCTTCCAGCGCCAGACACAAGCACTGTATCTCTCCTCTGCTGACACTGAAGCTGGAACCCGGGCACAGCTTGGAGACTAATCCGAGCGTGAGAAAAACCAGGAAAATGCAAAGCCAGAGCAGAGCCATCCTCTGGCTTCCCGTTTGCCCAGCTGTGTCCCACATAGTCCCTTATGGAGTGAGGGGCATCGTGTTCTAGCCTCTTCTTTCCTTAAATGTTAAAAAATGTCAGAAGGCAGGGTAGCTGGCGCCCCCTCCCCAAACCCTCTCCCTTGCTGACATTGTCAGACAGATTGCTGGGCTGGTTGGACCACTGGTTACCATTGAGAGGTGTCATAGCGTGACTGGGAGTTGAGATGATGAGACATGAGTCTTCACAGAACAAATCTGTTCTGTAAAACTTGGACTCAGTCAAAAGGCCATACCCCAGGACCTAGAGGGCCACTTGTGGCCTTGACCCCTGACTTAGGGAATGGGCACATCACCAAGGGGGTTCATCAGGCCAAAAGCTTCTGGAGATGAGGCCTGGATCAGCTCATGAGAGATCACCCAATCTGCAGAGCACTTGCTGTGTTCCAGACTGTCCCATGCTGGACGCTGGGGGCAGTCACAAGAGGATGTCTTAGAAGTGGGAGTGAGTAGGAGTGAGCTCCCAGACACAGCCGCCTTTCCACTCTCTCTCCTTGCCCAACAGATCTATGGAGTAATGAAAGGACACAGGGTTGGGTCTCGTGAGTCCTGGGTTCACATCTTGCCTCCACAACTTACTGGTTGTGTGACTTTGGGGCAAGTCACTTAATGCCTCTGGGCCTCATTTCAGAGGAGTTCTGAATCCTCTGACCTGATAAAACGGCACCAGAGAAGCAGAACACCCAAAGCCAAAGGTGTGCCTGTGGCCCACAGACTGTACTATGGGAATGTCAGTGCACTAGAAGGAAAGGTAGTCTGAGGAATTCAGAGAACCTTGGACAGGCTTGTCTGAATTGAAACAGTAAAGGAAGCAGCCCCGCGAGGGCAGCGCCAGCTGGCAACCTCACAGGCTAGAAGGTGCAAAGCACTTGTACGTACACGATTGCCCCTGAGTCTCACAGCGTCTCTGAGAGAAATGCTGCTGTCGTTTATCCTCACTTCATAAATGAAGAAGGTATGGAAGAGAGAAGGGTAAGTGACTGTAGTGAGTGGGTCACATCGCCAGTAAGTGTCCAGAGCAGGTTTGGACCTCGATCCAAGATTCTGTCCACCACACCACCCTGCCGCCATCCTCTCCTCCATATCTGTGGTGGCTACGGTTATGTGAATGTAAGCACTAACGCAGTGACCTATACTGGATCCAGAGCAATTGAAAAAATGACCCAGAGGGCAGGGGTCCCTGGAGAGGGATGCTAGGTAGTAGGTACTGGATTTGACAGAGGCGGTCGCTGTTAGGGTGGGGTGATGGCGGGGGAGGGGGGGCTGGCACAAATCCCCGGAAATGACTGTGGTGCCACAAACCAGCATCAGCGCAAACCGGCACCCCAGGAGAGAGAGCTCAGTCCAGCGCAGTAGCCCCGCTAGTGACCACCAGATGGCAGCAGTGGAGCGATCATGGTGGGGACCGGGATCCCTGGCTAGGGATAGGGCAGAGAAAAGTCTGCCTGGAAACCGGTCAGGGAGTGGCAGAGAGATGTGGTAGAAAAACACGTGGGCTTGATGTCAGATGAGCTGGGTTCAAATAGCAGCTTGCTTCTTTACCACCTTTGTGACCTAGGACAAGTCTCTTCTCTTTGGACCTCAGTTTCTTCTATAAAATGGGAACAGGCATTGCACTTGGATGATTCTCAGGGTCCCTTTCATGATCCAGATTAATTCAATTAAGCATTTATTAAATGCCTGTTATGGGTCAGGCACTGGTGATACATAGAAACTAAATGGTCCCTGCCCTCAAGAAGCTTAGATTCTACTGAGAAGAAGAGCGTGAATTCAGATAAGTAAAGACAAATAAACGTAAAGGAATTTAGGGGGGAGGGGCACTAATAACAGGGGGGGCGGGTAGTTGAGAAGGCCTCTTATGGGAAGCAGCGTTGGAGCAGGTGCGAAGGAAGCCAGGGGTTCTGAGAAGTGGAGATGAAGAAGGAGATTTCAGGTACCAGGGAGAACCTCGGTACATTGGACACGTGATGGAGAATAATGTCAGCTCAGGAGGGAAAGGCCTTTAAATGCCCCAAGAGGAGTGAATATTTTCTCCTAGAGGCAGTTAAGATTTTTGAGCTGGTCAGAGTTGTGCTTGACAAATGTTAACGTGGCAGCTGTGTGGAAGATGGATTAGAGATGAATGAGGAGGTTATTACATTAGTGCAGGTGAGAGGTGATGAGGGCCTGTGGGATGGGGAGTGAGTCAAGAGCAGGGGACAGGGTCAGAGGATGTGAGTTTGAATCCCAGCTCTGCCATTTACTTCCTGTGGGACTTTGGGCAACACCTCTCTGCGTATGAATTTGCTCATCTATAAGTTGAATTCAATGGCTCATTCCAGCCCTTAAATCCGTGGTCCTGTGACAGCCTGTATGAAGATTCTGTCATTCTGAATGGAAGGGGTGTGGAGGCAGAATTGAGAAGGTCTGAAAACTGATTGGAAATGGGGGGACAGTAAGGGGAAATGAAGTCGTTTGAACCTGGCTGACCAGAGGGGATGGTGGGTTCTTAACAGAATAGGGAAGTTAGGCAGGACGGGGTTAGTGGAAGAAATAAGGAGTTTATTTCCGACATGTTGCGTTTCAGATACCTACGGACATCCACATGAAGATATCCAACAAGGGGGGACTAGACAAAGGATGGAAATGACCAACTGCTTTTTTAATTACACTTTTTTCCAGTTAACAAAAATATGCTTTCTCTCCCTCTTCTCCAACCCCCAGGAAAAAAAGAAAAAACAAAAAAACCTTTTGTATAATTAAGCAAAACCAACCCTCTCATTGGCTGTGTCCAGAAAAACGTGTCTCACTTTGCATCTTGAGTCAGTCACTCTTAGTCAGGAGGCAGGGAGTGGGTTTCACTATGGGTCCTCTGGAATTGTGGTTGGTCATGGCATTGATCAAAGTTTTTAAATCTTTCAAACAAGGTTTTTGTCTTTACATTGTTCTCCTGGGAAACAACGGTTTTTTAATGAAGATTTATAAATTATAATCACATGAAAACATGCTCGAAATCACTATGAAGAGAAATACAATTCAAACAGCTCTAGGGTTTCACCTTACTTCATGATGAAGGATTGGAACAGTCGGTCCTGGCAGGCTTGTAGGATGACAGATGCACGAATGCACTGTTGGTGGAATTATGAAGTAATCTAGCTGTTCTGGAAAATAACTTGCAATTGTGCAGATACTGGGCATATACCTACCCTAGTGAAGTTAAAGCCAAACATGAAAGTCCATTGTATACTAAATATTAATACCAGTACTCTATGTCTTAGCAAAGCCTGGAAACCAAGTGGGTGCCCATTGATTCGAGTTTGGCATGTGATGGAAACACTTGCATGAACTGGTGCAGACTGAAGTGAGCAGAACCAGGAGAACAGTTTTTACAATGATTATGTATGTGAATGTAAGGAGGGGACCAGAGCTTAGGAGAGAGATGAGAGCTGGATGTGCAGATTTTGTAATGATCTACATCGTAATATTTGAATCCATGGGGAACTTCGAGGAGCAGGTGATATCTGAGTTGAAGGGTTCTGAGAGGCAGAGGTAAGGAAGGGCGTACAGCTAGGTGACTTCAATATCAAAGTGGCCATAAGGAAGGATGGCAAAAAAAAGTGTTGAAGCTACTTTGGGCCTCCAGGTTTAGGGGTAAGAAAGGAGAGAAAGAGGTGAAATGCTTACAGACTATGCAGAAGAATCTATGTCATGACTGCTTCAAGAATAGCATCAGAAGGTACTGGGTGTGAAGAGCATCAAACATTACAAAAAGTGAAATTGACATTTTAAGACAGGAAGTGACTGAATACTGGGGTGAGAGATCCAGATTAATATGAGTCTCCTTCCTCTGGAAGGATGGAGGGCGGAGAGGAGGGATCCGAAGCCACCAGTGGCTTCGATGGCAGCATTGGCGTTCTCTGCCATGTCGTCTCTTCCTGTGTGATTCTGGTCAGGACTTCAATACATTAGTCACTTCATCGACGTGAGTATTTCTTAGAGAAGATTTTCTTTGTTTAGGCTCTGTGGACAAATTACATGAAGTCCATAAGTTTGCTTTTTAACATTTCAATAACTATTTCAATATTGGATTATGCATTTAAAAAACACTGTTCAGAAAGGATCCATAGGCTTCACCAGACTGCCAAGCGGGTCCATGCCTTTCCATTGTTAGTGATGGGGAGCTGGGTCCCAGAAGAGAGGTTGGAGCTCTGTATAAAGCTTTGGGTATCATCTGTCTAGAAAAGTTGTTTGAAGCCAGGAGAGCTAATCACCAACAGTAAGAAGGTGCTTAAGTATGAAGAGAGAAAAAACAAGGGCTCTGGGACATCCATGGTTGGGGCAGAGTAGGTCATGGATGACGGTGCAGTACAAGAGTCTGAGAAAGCTGTCAGAGCAGCAAGAGCACATTGGAGGTGGGGGAGCGGTAACAGCAGCAGACAGCAAAGCACTTGATTGGAAGCTGAAAACTGAGAAAAGGTCTGTGGATTTAGTCTAAGAGATCATTTGTGGCAGTGACCAGTTATGACTTAAGAGGACTGCTGGTGAAGAATGCCAAGAAGTGATGGAAGACAGATGCTCCACGAGGCCGATGTCGGACATGCCCAGTTCATTTGTTTTGTTTAACTCCATTTCTTCCTTACAGGGGAGGGTTCTTTTATTTATTTTTTTGGAAGGAGGGAATAAGTGTTTGGGAAGTGATGATGATTTTTTAAGAACAAAAATACTACTAATTTTTAAAGAGCATTAGTAATCTTGGAGTGAGCAGCTTTAGTCAAATGTTGAGGCCAAAAGGCAGATTGCAAGAGATTGAGACTTAGTGGGAGCAGAGGAGGTGGAGCTAATGAGGATAGATGGCCATTCTAGGAGCTGAGTGGACATATACAGGATGACAACTTGAAGGTATAGTGGGGTTGAATGAACACTTTTTTTTAGGGATAGGGGAGACTTGGGTATGTTTGTAAGCATCAAGAAAGACCCCAGGAGAAAAGGAGAGGTTGATGAAAGAGTGAGAGAGAAAGGGGGATGGAAGAGATAGTCTTTCCTTGAAGAGATGAGATTAAGGGCATAGATAGAAAAGTTTATAGAGGCAAGGGCAAATCCCTTCTGGGAGAAGAGCCAAGGAGAGGATAATGAAGAGGGGTTTTAAAGTGTGGAAGGAAGGAGCTCACAACTGCTTGTTTTACAACTTTTTTCTTATTTTTTTTTTTAGTAATGATTGTTAAATAATATTTAAGCTCTTTATTCTGCTGTCAGTCATTTCCTAAGCTACCCCACCCCCAACTGAAACTTTCCCTAGCAACCCAAAAAAAGGTAAACAAACCATCCCAATAGTCCCTTACCTCTCCCTACCAAGAGGAAGAAAGCATTTCATCATCATTTCTCCGGGACTAAAACTGGCCATTCTGCTTAATCAGAGTTCATGATGGCCTCTTTTCTTAGTGAAGCAGGAAGTGAGGTGCTCTCCTGAGGAAGGGGGTGGGGTGGGGAGAAGGTTTAGAGCAGCTGCTTTGTAGAGTGCAAGAGAGAGTCAGGTCAGAATGAAAGGATTGCCATGCAACAGTGAGGGCCCAGTGAAGACTAGAGAACAGAAATTTGTAGTTGATCCAGTTGGCACAGATGGTTTGACTTCCTTTGGTGGAGTGTTCAGCTGAGATGGTAGGGGTTAACCTGGGGCTACCTCACAAGGAAAAGGAGTTCTGCAGGAGGGCCCACAGAGAGAGCTACTTTAGCATCACCCTACATTTCTGGCCTTGTCTCGCTACTCCCCAAGTTGCAGACCGTCAATCCACGAACCCTACTACACAGAGTTGGTAGTGATCCTTCCTGCGCTTGGCTTGTCCTGCTCCTGAACTGGTCTGCCCCCTTGTATTTTAGTTATCTCTTCACATCTCTGCCCCTTTTCTCTGTTGAATTACTGACTCCGCTGGAGTCCTGCTCTGGTGCTTCCTCTGGTGCTTTGTGGGTTTGGCAGAGAGAGGGCCAGTCCAGCAGTGCTCAGAGAGCCTCTGCACGCTGGTGGCCCTGGGGTCAGGCTCCGGAGAGCCACTTCCTAGTTGGGATTGGTGTCAGTGGAGGAAAAGCTGATGCTGCAGGCATCCCAGCTCCTTGAAGCATCTTCCTCAGAGCTCAGCACACAGTGCTTTGCACACAGTAGGAGTTTGTGGAGATTTCAGTACTTCAGGGAAAGGGGAGAACTTGAGGTCTTCCCCTCACTCTGTGTTTGCTCTCCAGGTACTAACATGCCAGCCACTTTTGGTCACCTGGCAGGAGGCTATGACGCCCAGTACTACGGCTACCTCTGGAGTGAGGTATACTCCATGGACATGTTCCACACACGCTTCAAAATGGAAGGGGTCCTCAACTGTAAGGTAAAACATCTCATTCATGGGACTGGTTTCTGCTGATTCTCTTCCGGTCTACTTGGTCCCCTTCAGTCCCATCGATAGGCAGAGAGAAGTGATGTCTCTGGAGAACTCTCGTCTACTGCCCTCTCCCTCTGCCTCCCAGTGTGCCCCCTAAAGATCCATGCAGGCCCAGCTTTGTATAATCCCAAAGAAAGACCTCTGAGTGCACCTTTTGTTAGCCTACCTGAGCCTGGGTTTCTTCTTTCAGCAAAGTCTCTTCCACTGCTGGGAGAAATCAGGCTCCCCTACCTTCCCCAGCTTTGTAGGGCAGGGCTGTAGGCTCTCCTTCCCTCTTGGAGACCTTTGGATCTAAGGGTTGGGCCCAGCACCAGCCAGATGCAACATGTAGGCAGTATGGGTGCCATCTTCAAGGATGTGAAGGGCTGTCATGTGACAGCCTTTCTTGGCCTAGGGCCATGTGGGACAGTTGTAGAGAGGCGGAGCTGGGCTCCATGTAAAGAAAACCCATCCTAATGATAAGGGCTATCCAAATGTCATGGGCTCTCCATTCCTGGGCTCCTCAAAATGGGACTTGATGACCACTGACTGGGGGTATTTGGCTGGGCTTCCAACCACTGAGATTCTGAGAGCATTTTGAATTAGACGCTGTTTGATTGTGATAAGCTTCTCACCTCCCATTTGGATGTTCGCTTTCCTTGCCTCCCAGCTCTCCAGTGATACCCACTCTAGCCGTCTGCCCAGATCTTCCTTTGCCCTGCTGGTACCCAGGCCTTTCTTTCACTCTCTCCCTATACATCCTCCCCACCTCCTTAGAGCCACCATTCTGTCCGTGTGGGCTGCTGGTGGCCAGGGCACACTGGTTATGTCTGGTGATAGGAGAATGGCTGAGAGCCGTCCCCTTTGTCGCTTGAGTACCTGCGATTGGCCAGGATGAGTCCCTAGTTGGTGTCACTTCCAATGCCTGGGGCTGGGGAGTGTTTGTGAGAATAGGACAGCCCCGACTCCTGGGATCCAGTGTTTGAGGGGTGACCACAGGGGCACGCTTATACCTCAGTTTCCTTCCCAATTATAATGTTCTTGCCACTGGCCTGATCTGGGCTCCTTTGTGTTCCTAGGGGTTAAGTAACTTGCCCAGGGCCACAGATGGTGCCTCATTTCTCTGGGTCTTTTTACTCTTCCGTAAAATCATATTATACTTGCCTGAAAACTGGGGCTGGACTTCAGATTCCTTCCAGCTTTAAGATCTTATGCTGGGGAGCTGAGCTAGAGATTTTTGCTAAGATTGTCAATGTAGGAAGGAGCCTCCGAGATCATTTCATTCGTTCAGCCCATTCCTGAGTAGGAATCATCTTCGTAGCCTCTCTTTGAAGGCCTCTGATGATGGGCAGAGGACAGTGGACTGTCTGCTCCCCATTTGATTCTGTGCCTCCCAATACGGCCTAGGGTATCCCAGGTCAGGGGAGGGGGGAGGGTTAGATGACCCCTGTAGCCCACTGTATCTCTCCACACTGTGTTCCTCATCCCTCCTGCAGGTTGGCATGGACTACAGGACCTGCATCCTGAAGCCAGGTGGCTCTGTCGATGCTATCAGCATGCTGCAGCAGTTCCTCGGCCGGCAGCCCAAGCAAGATGCCTTCCTCCTGAGCAAAGGCCTGAAGGTGCCGGACAGCAGCTAACTGCCTTCTGCCTGCTGATGGGCCAGCCTCGGAGGCACGGGAGCTCTTTCGTGCATCTCCATTCTTCAGGACTGAGCAAGTGTGGACATAACCTTCTGCTGGCCTCCCTGTTGCCTTAAACTCCCAACAGAGAGAGAACAGAGGGACTCTCCCAGAAGGGAGTGGGATGAAGGGGTATCTCGACACCCCGTCCCAAATCTGCCCTGTTTTGCTTTCTACTTTTAAACCTTCCAGTCCCTTTTTTTAGGGTCTTTGCTCAGTCACATTAAGATGTTTGGAGAGTTCTTGTGTTGGCCATATGGTCTGATATTTTTTTCCCTTGTCCATCCCATCCCGCGGTAACCAAGATCAGGTTCTCTACTGAAACTATAACTGTAATCTTTTTTTTAAAGTGGAGTGAAAGAGGGAGTCTGTCCTCTGCTTCCCTCTCTCCCTCCTTCTACCTTGAAATGGTTTAGTTTAACATTGGTTGTTAAGGCAGAAATCATGGTTTAGTCTTTTGGGGATGGTTTTATCATACACTGTTTTGGTGGAGGCTTGATTAGACCTCAGGGAATTGACGGCTGGGGTGAGTGTGTTGTGTGTGCGGTAGCTGGTGAGTGAAACGAGTGATTTGTTCTCCTAACTGGAACCAAGGGGCCTTAGAAAGTTCACCCTGAGCTTTGTACAACCTTTACTCCGGGATTCTGGGGCCAGCATCTCAGTGTGTGTTTGCTGCCTGGCTCACATAATAAACCTAGAGGAAGCTTATCGATAACCTGATCAGTAAGTGGGGTCAGGTTGGAGCTGTCTAGGAGAAGGTGTTTGGAAAGAACTTGGTCTAAGTGACTCCCCCCTTTTATCCCAGCAGAGATTCTGCAGGCCTGCTTCCTGTGCTTGGCCACTCTTCACCCTTCAGCCCACGTGAACAAGACAAGCACAGACTGGAGCACAGCTTTCAGGCTGTGAGGGTGTGATGGCAGAGATAGAGAGGGAGCTCCTGGCAAAAACCGAGGAAGATGCAGTGCCTTTGATTTCGAAATGGGAGGGAGTATCTGTTTAAAAGGGAGCAGGCTTTAAATTGGTGGGTGTCAGATAAATCAAGGCATGAGCTCTCCAGGCCTGACACACTGCCTGCTCCTGTGCCCTCAGTCAGTGGATAAGCATTTATTAAACATTCCTAAGACAAACCCTCCCCTCAAGGAGCTCACAGTCTAATGGGGGAGGCAACATTCAAACCACTAGGTCCAAACAAGCTGCAGACAGGATAAATAGGAGATAACCCAGCAGAGGGAAGCCCTGTAAGTAAGAGGGATTGGGAAGAGTTTGTGTAGAGGGTGGAATTTTTGGTGGGACTTGCAGGAAGCCAAGAGGCAAAGAAGAGGTGGAGGAGTGTTCCAGACAAGGGAAACAACCAGAGAAAAGATCTGTAGCAAAGAGACGAAGGGCCTTGTTTAAGGAACAGCGACCAAGCCACACCAAATCCATTTCCATCTAAAGGCAATCAAGTGCCCTCTTTTCTCCCCACCCTCTTTGGCCTGCTCTTGCAGCTGGACCAGCAGAAATCCCAGCTCTACCCCTGACTCACTGTGTGACCTTGGGCCAACTTTCCTGGGCCTCACATTGGTGTAGGTGATCTTTAAAGCTTCTCCCCCCGCCCCATCCTAATAGTCAGCAAGTCAATGATTATTGAATGTTCCTGTCCAAATGCCCTAGTTCCTCGAAGAAGTCTTAGCCTCATCTGCTTCTCAGCACACTGTCTTGTATAGTCATCCTGCTTGGGGAGGCCCCTCTCGAAGAAACCCCTTCAGGGAGAAGTCAAGTCCCGGTCCTGGCAGCCAAGTGTCCTCCTGCCTTTAACTGAACCAATTAATGATAATTACATTTTAATGACCCCAGATCGTCAGCCTCAGGTACGACACCATAAATCCCTCACCTTTGTGAGCCTGGTAACTTTTAGCTGGCCATGGTAGCACCCAGGCTTTGGCCTTGTTGTCCCCCTCCCCCTTACCAAGGAATGACCAGAGATGGGGATTTAGTCTCTGACTTTATTTAATCTTTTGATTTAAATTAGAAACTTCTTAATACCTTGGTAGTAAGCCCCCTATTCTTGATTGTGAAGTATGGTGCCTTCCTCTCTTTACTGTGGGTTTTTCAGTCACTTGCTTGGAGCTCCCACGACTCCTCCAGACTTTGCTTAAGCATCTCTCTTGTTTGGTCTCAGCAGACCCCAGTGTAGAAACAGCTGACAGTGCCGTCTGCCACAGTAAGGTCCACCGGTAAAGTCAAGTACTGAGCTCTCCAGGTGGGCAAGGGAGTGTTTGCCTCTCCCCTGCCCATGGACCAGGGGGTGGGAGTGGGGTCTTGTGCCCCTCTTTCCCAGCTCCTCCCCACCTTGTCTGTCACCAGTTCACACCCAGCTCCTAAACCAGGGTGGGACCATTTAGAGGCTGTTTGTGCCCAGCCAGACCTTGAGACTGTTGTACCTAATTTACACTGGCCTTTCCTAAACTCTTGACCAGGAGGACAGATACCTTATTTTCCTTAGCCAGAGCTAGTAAGGGCAGGTCTGAAGGGTTACTATCTGGTGTTGCTGGTGTTTTCACTATCTCAGAAAAGTAAGGTGCTTAGTTTTAGATTCTATGGCTACCACAGCTGAATGCTGTAAAGTCTACAATCCTCTGGTCCAAAATACCAACTCCACAGGGCAGTTGCACTGGTGTCAGGAGATGAGATCTTTTATCTTTTCCTTTGTCCAGCTACCACCCTTTTCTACCAGCCAGACCCTATTGGACCCAGCAGTGAGTGAGTGGCCTCTGATTCATCCAAATGCAGCTAATTGATCTTTGCCTTGCCACATGGCATCAGGGAAGGCTGGAGGCCAAGTGGGTCTTCCTGGCTTGTGACCTTAGGCCCAGCTGCTGGTTTTTGTTGTTGTTTTAACGATGTAGATATCAAAAGTCATAAGCAGGGAAGCGAACAAGGAATCTGAGGTTCTTGGCTGCTTTTAGAACCCTGCCAGCCGGCTGCCAATGAGCTTGGAAACACGTGGGAGGGGCCATTTCAAGAGGCTACGTGTGTACTAGGCGGAGCTGTGAGAGCTAGTGTCACAGGAAGATCACTGGGTTTGAATCCTGACTGTTACTCGTGTGACTGTGGACAAGTCCCTTCCCCTCCCTGCACCGGTTTTCCCCATTTGCAAAATTATAAGATTGGACTGTATCTTTAAGGGTCGGTCCTTCCACCTCTTAATCCTTGGTCTAATTAAGCCGGCAAAGAATGCATTGTCTGTCCAAGTTATGACTGAACCCCAGAATTACTCCTTTTCTACGAAGTCCTCAGGGGAGCAGCGAGGGCTTGATTTTGGGTGGTGTCCTTCCTGGTAACCTAACCCACCCTGTGCCCCCAGCACGGAGCTCTTGCTCTACCCTGTCTCCTGTGGCAGGATAAGGAATGTGGAAAGGTCACAGGTTTTGAATTCCTGCCTGCTTTGCCTAGCCAGCCCAGTGCCCATATTGCTCATTCCTCAGGAGCTCATGTCTTAGTGCTTAGAGGTATTCGAGCCTCTGGAGGTGAATGTGGCCCCCTCTTCCCAGTGTTCTCTCCAGTCACCCTTTCTCCAAAGCCCAGGGACCTAGGCCTCTTCACAAAGGGTCTTTTGCTGTCTCTACCTGACCTCATTTCTCTTTGCCTTTGCTTCCAGCATCTTAAAAGCTTTTTTCCATGCCCTGACGTATGTCGCTTGTACTGAAAGCCCAGCTCAGGTACTCAGCAGAATCCCAAAGGAGAAACACGTGCTCAGTTGGGGATGGCTTAAAATACCTAAGGCAGGTGTGAGGCCGCTGAGTCAGCACTGGACAGCCTGGGCTCCCCAGAGGCCTTCCGCTCATCGAGAAAGGATTGTCTGCCATCTTATCATCTTCACCCCAGCCTCTAGACACGGCAGG